AACCGATTTCCGTTTATTTATCTTTGCAATAGGTGAGCTAGCCTTCTTGTTTCTTTATGTTTCATATACCATTTTCTAGCTCGTAAAATTCTCTATCGAATGGTATATAATAGTTGGGGTTTTGTTTGACTATGATAGGAAAATGTTTTTACGAAAGCGGGGATGGATCGATTTTCGCATAGGAAACCATAGGGAAAAATGAGTATTTTTGCAATAACTCAGGAACGGTTCGGCCAATTCTTCTCATCTTCGAACTGGACTGAGATATTGTTAAGACTGAACTGTGTAGAAAATTTCATCGCGATCGGACTCTCCTTTCAAAAGTTATCGTGTAACCGGAGGCCAGACGGACACACTGACCGATTCTAGAGTGTACTCACTTTTTGAGTACACAAAAGAGCGAAAAATTTTTTTCTAAGTTCTCATTTGGCATGATTCGAGTAGAGCAACTAATTTTATGAATCAGAACAATATTTTGATTGTTCTCAAAGCAGTTTTTTCGGTCCAAATCGATCAAAAACTAAAAAGGGTCGAAAACGGTGAATCTCAGAAACTAACTTTTTTCGCAGCTTTTTGGTCACTTCGAGCATTTTAAAGCAAAATGAATATGATATTCGTGATCAGTAGTGTCGATAACCTATAGATCACGAAAATTTCGACGAAAAAAATGTTTTTTGAAGTCGGTAAAAAATCAAATAGCCTATTTTGTTCAGAATTTAATGCCGATTCTAACGATATAATTTTTTTTGAAAAGTATTGGGGAATGAAAAATGGCCTTACCACCACTTGTCCTTTAAAATTAAAATACCTGTAATAAAGAATTTTTTCGCGAAAGAGTAATCATATAGATACCCTTGACTGATTCGAAGTTAAAGCTAGAAAAATTCATTATAGACTCGAAGTCGCGAACGCAGGAAGCACGATGTGTAACTGAGTGCACGGCTGAGACCGTGTGGCGTTTCTGTCAAAAAAGAAAATTTTTACAATAACGTGGTTTTATTTTTAAGTTACTATATAGAGACGTTGAAAGTACTCTTCAAAATATTCCAGCAAAGTGTTAATAGTTTTCACTCCTAAAGCATCAATGTTAGTTGACTCGGCAATATGAACAGCAAAGCTAGAGCTTGAAGATGTTTATACTGAAGTTTAGTTAAGACGTATTGAAAACAACTACAAGAAAATAGTATAAGAGAATTCTTTCATATCAAGGTGTAGTTCATAAGGTAAGTATTTACTTGTATCGCACCAAAAGACATCCTTTATTTGATGGCTTTATATTGATTAAAATTATGCAGATAACGTTGAACTCTATACGGTAATGTAGGAAAACGAATTGAATCAAAATTTCTTCAACTTCTTTTCTTCATCGAAACACTGACGTCGAGCTTGAATTCGCTTTAGTAGTTGGGGACTCCATCCAAATTTTTAGCATCCTAAACTGTGTATAAAAGAAAAAATATTATAGAAAAGCTAGTTTCGTGAATGACTAAATAAATATGTTGAGAATAACAATTACATCAAGTTCAGAGAATTACATCAGTAGAAGTACTATTTTTTTTTCGTTAAAACAAAGACTTAAGATGGAGAATTTAAGCTATGCAGTAAAAATATCAAGTTTTAAGTAGATTTAATTGCACAAATTTAAAGTTCTGAGAAATAATTTTAAAAAAGACAGAAAGTATTCAACTTCATCTTCTTCTCAAGGAAGATACCATATTAAATATAAATAAAGCTGAACAATTAATCAACTTACAAATGTTCCCACATACAACCTATGTAAAAGAATCAACCAAAAACGACTGACCCATGTCACAGTAACGTAATCTTCTCAAAGCACATGGTCCAAAATGCCCTCTGATATTATTATTTTTAACACCCATGAGTGGGATCCAATGTCGCTTTTGTTGATCACACTAAAAGAATGTAGAAATTGAAAGAGAAAATCTTAGTCATTATTAGTGTACTGTATTTAAGATTTTCATAGCTGCATCATATGTTACATTTGAACGGAGATCGGATTTATTTGCAAAATCAAATGGAAAACAATGAACATGACCTTTACCGGTAGCAATGGTTTCTCCTAAACACGTACACACTACGAAATATTGACATATAGTTCCTTAGAAAAAATTGCTACCTGTAATCTGACAGCAGCTACATCCATAAAATCCACCACTGTCCGTCATGTTCTGAATGATAGTTTTGGGCAGGCTTATCACAAACAATACCTGTCAAGTATACAGAAATACGAGTAGTAAAACAAGAGTATGAATGACGAGTATTATATTCATGTGGTAAATATATATCAATTCCATTTTCCAGTTCAGTCAGCTGATCAATTAGTTTATCGAGTAATGGAGCAAATTCTGAACGTTTCGGCTTTTGAAAATCATTAGATATCATTGCTACAATCATATTAGGCACCTGGAGCTGTATCTTTCGAGGAATTTCATTAATGGCAATAGTTGTTATCCCAAAAAAACGTGATATATTTTGAATTAATACGCCATCAGAGTTCAGTAGCAATGTTACAAAATGGTTTCTTTTTGGGATTGACGAATACGTTGATCAACAAGTTCATCAGTTATATCGTTCATTTTTTCTTTGCTTATTCAAAGGGATGTAAGTGGAGTGCGTTCCAAGATAGCTTTCATATGATGTTTCAAATTGAATATGTAGTTTACAGTTGGTGTCCTTGTGTATGCATTGTGACCTGCACAACCTTTAACTGAACATCGATTCATTTGTACACTTAGGCCATAGCAAATTGGGCAGACAACAGCAAGGTTAGGATGAAAAATCCTTGTTTTTTCTAGAGTAATTAGTTTATAAATTGAGCAATAATCATTTGGAATATTTGGCACTTCAAGCAGACACAACAGATGACAAAAAGCAGTTAATCAAGATTTTGAAATTGAATGATGGAGTCGAAGACAATTTAGAAGCACTGATAACTCTAAAGTTGTGTGTGAACGACGAGACAATTACTCAGTTTTTGGAACATTGTCCGAACGCGAACTAGAATTATTGTATGGTGATGATGAGTAATAATCAAAATGGTCCCGGTTCTCATCGGATTGAATCTGATTGCTTCTATTGGTATGAGCCGACATGCCATCATTTTCATTATCATCAGATGGCATAGATTCCCAATCAACATCATTAATGTTTATTCCTTCTTGTTCAAGTGTAAACATATGTTGATTTGAAACTATATCAGAATGTTCACTGAGTAAGTTTGGGCTTTTAAAGGTTGTCATGGTATTTAGCACCGGTAGGTTATCATTTACCACAAATTGCTATCCCCAGATTCATCCCTAAATCGTATCCACATTTGTGGATAATTAAGGAATTATGATTAATTCTGGTCACCAATTAGGGATTTTGATTTAGGGATTTTTCAATTTAGGGATTTTTTTTTAATATAAAAGTATGCCACATACATCACAATTCAACACCATCTTCTACCGTACTGTAAATTTTTTATTATTGACACTCCAGTATTGTATCAGAAACTGTAGTATAAGTAGATACACTCTGGTCACCAGAATTGCTGCGTATTCATTCTCTACATTTATCAACATAAACATTTGAAATGCATTTTTCTTTTCCTCTTTCTTCTACAGTCTGCACGTCGAGAAAAGAAATAATATATTATCAGTGTGCGTGGTTTAGGAAAATAAATGTATCGTGTAGATAAAATGTGCATTGACTGAAGTTAAACGTCCAACGTAAAATATAAGATGTAATACAAATTCGTGTCTATTGAGATAAAAGATTTGTTTAGTCGATTCTGCCGACCACAAAATCTTTTTTTTGTGATCATTCTATTTCAAGATCGTCGAGGAGGAACATTATTTTCTAGAAAAATCATTCAGAGACTAGAAAATAGCATAGACGGACGGCTGCGTACAGGATATAAATACTCGAAAAATAAACCTTTTAGTCATAACTGTTTTTAACAAATTCAACGTACAGTTCATCGTATTAATTATATGTTTGTTCCTATGTAAGTTTATACTTTTGTAAATACTATTTCTGGCTTGAATTTAAGATAGTAATTTTGGCTCATAGTAGGCTTTTAAGAGTCGTATAGGAGTATGAAGTCTTTATAATAGTGATTCTACCTTGTGAAATTGAAGTGTATGCACAGGAGATTTTTTGAGAATAGATTTTGTTATGTCACTGCGCACCCTACGAAGAAAACAAATATTGGTTGACGAAATATATATGTGCACTCCTCTTTGAGTTTTTTCTATTGGAAATACTGCAAAATGCGTATAAATGATTTCTTTTTTAATTCTAGTTACCAAAATCTTAGACAATGAATTCTGGTAACCAGAATCATAGAGAATAAATTCTGGTTATCAGAATCATAGGGAATCACTTCTGGTTACCAGAATGTTAGAAAATGCAAGAATGTTTTATATTTATTTTTTTTCTTTTTAGACTTCATTGTTTTTAATTTGTTATTTGTAAATAATTGTTATTGTAACAATATCGCTAGAATCAAAGGAACAACACCACGTACTGGAATGCTATTGAACACAAAAACAACCAGATTACCATTAGCTATAAAACCATCGAATAGTACCATGTCATCGTCTTCATCGTCTACAAATCAGACATTGTCACCGACGACAGCTAATACTGCTACTAATTCACCATTATCCTCAATCAGTCAATCATCATCATCATTACCTTTGTCAAAAGATACGAAATTGTCTTCAATTACAACAACACGACATAAAACAAGTACAATGAAAAAAACAAAATCTATATCAAAAGCAGAAATTATTAAATCCGAACTTGATGAAGAAAATATTGATAATGAAAGTGGTACAGAAGCACAATATGATCTTGCAACAAGTATCGAAGAAAGTGGAGGTGTTGATCAGTTTTTAGAAACTCCATGTATGATTTTATATAAACGAAATTTAACAAATCAAGGTTAGTAACTTATTTGTGTTAGTTTCAATGATTCAACTGTTTTTTAACGCAAGCATTAGTTTCAGCTAGTTTCATAAAAATTTGAGTTTGGTGACCAAAAACACAGTCTGTTTCTTTTCTTACAAACTAAAGTTTGTTCGTATTTCTTGTCTTTGTCTTTATACTAAAATCTGGTTTCTGGTGACCAGAATATTAATACGGTAAAAACCATTGTCTTTTTATAATATCACTGTTTCTGGTCACCAGAATGTTAACAATCTGAAACATATTGTCTTTCTCTAATATCATTGTTTCTGGTGACCAGAATGCTAACGAGCTAAAACAATCTTTTTCTTATTACTGATATTTGTTTTTTTTCTTGCTTTAGTTGATCTTGAAAATTATATTTTAAAACATCTTTCATCATACAATACAAACAAATGCTTATTTGCTGGTGTCAAAGGTACAGATGAACTTAAACAAAAAATAAATGAATTTTATCGTCAACATCGAAAAAAATCGATGGAATCAACAATTTTATTCAAAGGAAATTCATCAAGAACGACAATTACACAGCAAATCTTACTTAAGAAGGGAAATCTTTATTTATATGTTGATGGAGTAATGAAAAATAAAACATCGAGAAATAAAAGAAAAAGAGTTTCCGTTGGTAAGTGATTGATACATTTTTCTAGTATTTTCTTGTCACATAGAATTTATCTTGTTTCTACTTTGAATAATATGAAAGTGATGAATTATTTTATTTTTATTAAAGATTTAGGTTCAGTACGTGATGTTGAAAAAGTTCATGGAAATAAATGTAGTGGTGATGATAGAAAATCTGAAACTGATTTTTCGACTAAAAACTTGAAATATGTAAAGTCTCGAAACAATAATGATAATGAAGACGAAAAATCAGGTGAGTTTTAAAAAAGTCAATAATCTAAGAAGTTAGATATAATTTTTTTGACTTCTGGTCACCACAACTGAAATTTATTTATTTCTGCTTGTAGATGTTGAACATACTGATGATGATGCAAGTGGAACAGTGAATGATGCAACAGAAAGTGATTTAGAAGAAGGAAATGAAAAAGAAGAAGAACAAAATATGATTGAAGATGAAATTGCAGCAGAAGAAACATCCCAAACAAATGGTATGTTTTTAAAGCAAATTGTTTTTCAAATTTTGAAGTAGATAGATGTTATTAAAGAGGATTTTTAATGACGTTATTCAATACGTTTTTTTCTTTCTGATATTTAAAACTGGTGACCAGAAACTGAAAATTCATTTTTTTTTGTTTTTAATTTAGTTTTAGTTGGTGGTACAAAACGTAAACATATAAACTGGCGAGGTGGTTCTAAGAATTGTAAGTATATAATTGTAATAGGAACTTTTTAATGATGTCAACAATCTTGTTTGTCATTCTTTCCAAATAGGCGGACTTTACTTATTGTTACACAAAAATGAAGAAGTTAAAGAATGTGTGAATAACGTTTTGAGTTATGGACGTGAACATGGTGTTTTATTAACCGGCGTGCAATTAAAAGTGTTATTGGACATACAAAATGTCGAAATTACTAAAGATAGAGCCAATGCTATTGTTCAACTTATTGCAAGCAATGTAGAAGTTGTTAGTAATCCACATTTCGTAGCACCCACAGCACAAAAGTCGTAAGTAATAGCTTTCAAATATTATTTTCTTTTACTTCATATTATTCTTTTATTATAGGCTTTTCGAATATTATGGTGAAAATTTCGAATTAGGTGCAGTGTTTCCTGCTAAATCGATACCAATTCCACGAGCAATAATGATCAAATGTCGAGAGGACGAGAAGAAAAGGGTCAGTTCTTAGCTTTTCTTTTTAATTTTGATTGTTAGTAATGCAATTTTTTCATTTTTATACTGGGTAGAAAAAAGCTGGTGGTGGTAACAAACGTAAAAAAGAAGAAAAACAAGTAAGTTGTCACAGAGCTGTAACATGAATACATTTTACTATTTCTAGAACAAATTTAACTACTTTTATTTTTTATTTTAAGCCTATGGAAATGATGAAGGAAAAACATTCAACAACCTACAATAGTGAAGATGATGAAGTGATGGAAATTGATGATGTGAGTACTGACTAATACTCTATTCACTCTTAACGATTAATTATATACATTTTCTATTTTTGTTTTGTCACATAGGAAAAATTAAATGAAAATAAGATCAACTCACTTGATAATAAACAAGATGATAAAAAAGAAAATAAAAAGTTAAATAAAAATCACTCAGAAGTAGGTTTTTGCTATTTTACAAAGTGGTGACCAGATTCTCAGATTCACCTTTTTATCTTTTATACTGCAGGAAGATCGTAACAATATTAAAGATGGTGTTGGTAAAAACAATGATACTTTGATTGATGTTGCTGTACTTTCTGAAAAAAATACTAATAATGGTAAGTTTATTATTACTTAGTTATTGGAAGGAAACTGTCATTAATAATGATTGTCTAGATGGTAGTGATAATACTGATATTAATTCAACATCAATTGAATCAAAAATAAAAAATGTTGTAAGTACACTGTTCTTTAATGAAGAAAGTTTAGCTTCTGGTAACTAGAAATGTACTTTTTTTATGTAACTACTTATAGGTTGAACGATGTCCTTCTCCAGATCCTGGGGAAACATTTTCTTCAATTACAGTTAATACAAACACTCAATTATCACCTTCAAAGTGTACAATATCTACAAATAATCCAGCATCATCATCTGATACTCTACATTCAGCTTCACCTCAACATTCAAAGACAGTTGATAGTACCATCAACACATCACCACTTCCGCAACAACAAAGTCCACCATCACAACCAAAACAAAAGAATGTTTCTCCTAAAAAAGTTAGCACTGCTCAAGAAACACCAAAATGGTGAGTTTACTTTTATTTATAGTGCAAAAGCTGTCTTTCCCTACCTATAATTACCTTCTATCTTCCTTATATAATATAGTTTTAAACGACGATCATTCGGCTTACGTTCAAAGATAAAAAAGAAACAATATCAATTACCAATCGTCAAACCAAGTAAACGTAAGCAAAATGATGAAGATACAAATACAGCACCACTTGCTAATCCATCAAAAAAAAACAAAGTGAACAACAAAAAATCTGCACGTAATTATCAAGCATTAACAAAAAAATTTGGAAAAATTCCGAAGAAAACATCTACATCATTAACAACAGACACTTCAAGTAATAATTAACAAAATGATTTGTTAAAAAAAACAGAATTTGGTAACCAGAATTGGAAATAAAAACATTATTGTTATGTAATTTTGTATTGTTTCTCTTCTATTTGTTTTTGTCTTTTTTCTTATTTTCTTTTGATATAATTAGGTGCCTATATATGTTGAGCTTATCATCGTACTCAAAGTACCCTTTTGCTATATGCCATATTTTACATTATTTTCTCTTTCATTATATGAAAATAAAAAAATTATACAACTCATCTACGTTTAAAGCGGTAAAGAAAAGTAAGTTTCTGGTCACCAGAAAATAAATTTTAAAGGATATAATCAAAACAGGAAAGCTCATAGGTAACTCTGTTTTAACGTAGTAAGTTAAAAACATAGTCTGCATTAATATCAAATTAGCCTGAACAAGAAATATTTTCAGACTTTAGAGTGGGATTGGATCGAAAACAACGCCAGTGAATTTTTTGCATCAGTCGGTTTGAGAGATTGCGAAAAATGTTAAAGTTAAGATGTAGCAGCTTTATATTTTGGCTTAGTCTAAATAATTTGTAAAACACATGTTAATGAGTTGTTTTCTGATATATGCAGGTTCTTCCTTTTGTGTTAATTATTAGATGTCAGGATCTATATATATAAAGCAGAAAGAACAGTTACCTCTTTAAGAAAACATGGTTTCTATGATAATTTTTGCTGTATAGAAATGTTTGATTTTGGTCACCAGAGGAATTAACTGTCTTCTTTTTTTTGATTTTTACTATAGATTATATTTATCACCATTTCTTTTTATGATGTACAACATTAATAACATCATTCAATCTGCTACATCCGTTCCTCTGCTGCCTTCAAATACATCGTCGTCATCAACAACACCATTATGTCATTCTCATTCTATTGTTCAAAATCCAACATTATTAGCATTTCATACACCATCTTCTTCATCACCATTGTACAATCCTTCACCACCATCTCAACAACAGTATTATCAATCATATTCATATCCACCTCAATCACAACTATTATCACAACGTGATTGGGAAATGATATTATCATTAAGAATGATGAATAATCTAAATATGTTACCACCATTTCAGCTACCATCTTCTGCAATTTATCGACAAACAGATGATACAGCATCGTATCAACCCTCATCATCTGATCAAACTGGTCACCAGATACAACAATCGACATATTATGCAACAAATGTTCCATCAATTCATTCATATACAGCATCAACAATAACAACAACACCAACATCACAACAATTGTTATATGCTCCAAATACTCAATGTTCCACTACACAAATACAGCAACCATTTACAACAGCTGCTACATTACCAACAACAATTTCAGTACAAACAGTACCAGGGCAAATATCTTTATCTTCACAAATATCTCCATCACTACAAATGTGTCCATCTTCACAAATACCATCAGGTCACCAGAAACATTCACCTATGCTACAATTACAATCACGGTCTTCGCCTCCAGCTTCACCACCATCAATAATTATTTCACCGGTACAACAACACCAACAGAAATCTGCAAGTCGAAGTTTATCAGCTTCTCCTGAACAACGTCAATCAAGTTCTCCTCAACGACATCAACTAGTTCATCCACAAACACCGACAATCTTTCACTACCAACCAACGATAACAGAACCAGCTGTTAAATTACTTGATCCAACAAAACCGTATAAAATTGGAGATCCAATTAAAGCTGGTGGACGTACGTTACAATCAGATACATCATCAATCAAATATTGGATTGAAGATGATATAACAGTTACAGAAACAGCAAGTGGAAAACAAATACTGAATATGGCTGGATATTCCTATTTCGTTAAAAACTATGGAAAAAATTTTACAACATGGGAATGCGAATATCGACGTAATTACCAATGTTCATCAATAATTATTCGATCATCAGATCCAACTGTGAAAAATTATTTTCGGATTTATTCCATTCAAGGCGAACATATCCATGAACCAGCACCAAAAAATGTTGAAATTCGAAAATTTAAACAACGTATAAGAGACCGTTGTCGACAAGAATTATCTACTCCACGAACAATTTATGACAACGAATTGATGAAAGGAAAATATTCATCTGAAATGTTAAAAATTTTGCCAACGTTTTACAATATGCGTAAGTAAACAAATACTTTTTTACAACCTTATCTTCTCTAGACAGTCTACATACTGATCTGGTGACCAGTTGTCATCCGATCAGTTTCTTTAGATAAGATATAATGAAAGAATAAAAGCTTAATAAATTTTCATCTCAGTAGGAAAATCCTAGTCTTGATGAATCTGGTGACCAAATTCAGTTTTTTCTGAATGTTTTTTAGAAGCACAATTATATCGTATTCGTCAAGAACATTTACCACCATCACCAACAGATCCAAATTTCATCCTACATCCAGCATTTACATCTACAGATCAAGGAGCAAGATTTTTATTGTATGATTCAAATTCTGTTCAATCACCATATGAATCAGCACCAGCTAAAGTCGGTCGTTTAATAATTTATGCTAGCGATTTACAATTGGATATTTTATCGAAATCCAAACGTATCGGTAGCGACGGAACGTTTGAAACAGCTGCAAAAATGACTCATCAAAATTATATCATAATGGGTGAATTTGAAGAACAACATCCTGGTAAAAATAAATTGCAATCTGGTTACCAGAAAAAGAAAATTTTTTTTCACTTTTCTTTTTGCATTTTTATTTTTAGTACCATTAGTCTTTTGTTTATGCGAATACCAGAATTACGAAACTTATGAATTAATCATAAAAGTGTTGAAAACAGCTATTCGTAATTTAAAATTAGATTTTAAACCAATATATTGGATGAGCGATTACGAAGCTGGTTTAACAAAAGCGATTAAAAAACAGGTAAATTTTCTTTTTAATAATATTTTGTAGGCTATTTATGGACCCTAGTTAACAGTTAAATATAAAATGCTTTAATTTCGGTGAGTATTATTCTGGTCACCAGATGCGTTCTTAACTAAGTTCAGGGCTAAAAGCAAAGGGATAATTAGTAGAAGAAACATCCATTAATCGATAGTTTCTGGTAACCAGATTCGCAAGCTTTATTATAAAACCTCTAGGTTTCTATTCCTTTTCTATTTTTAGCTACGAAATACAAAGTTGTTGGGTTGTGCGTTCCACTATAATCAAGCAATTTATCGAAACATTCAAAATAAAGGTTTACAAGAGGCTTATCAAAATATAGAAGTGGTTCGACAAATTCTGCGTCAAATTATGGCGCTGGCATTCATTCCAAATGATCAAATTAGAATAGCATACGATGACGTGATTGTACCACAACTAAATAATGTTCCATCAAGACCAGGATCTATTCGTCAAAAATTACGTGAATTTTTGAAGTATTACGAATCATACTGGTTGACAAAGATTTATAAATTTTGTGTATTTGATCAACCAATAAGAACAAATAATGGTCTTGAAGGTAAATAGTATTTTAATTACATATTCGTTTCTTTCTGAAAGCAGTTACCTATCAAGGATTGAAAATAAACTCCAATTTCGAGAATAGCATGTGGTCACCAGATTCTAAACTTTTTCAAAGTTAGAAAAAGAAATTTCAACAAGTCAATTAGTCAGTGTATAATAGATGCATGATTCATATCTTTACTACATATGTGGTCACCAGATACCTAAAAAATTTCAACTTCGACTATCTTAAACTAATTGTGATCTCTAATCTTTTCTCAATTGTAGGATACAATAATAAAATGTCAGCTCAACTATCAGCTCATCCACATCTTTATCGTCTTATTGTTTGGTTTGAAAAAGAAGAATTACTTGTACAACAATTAGTAATGAAAGTGATTTCAGATGTACCAGTTCACAAACGAAAACGAGCACCAAAAACAGTTCTTATTGATGGTGCACTGCAATCTTTATGGAATAGTTATAATGCTGGAACACTTACTTTAGAAACATTACTATTGGAATCATCGAAATGGATAGCAAGAAAAGCTTGACAGGGAATAACAATGTAAGAAAAAGGTGAACATTTTCTCTACTTCTATAACGATTTTCTTCTCTGCTTGTCATTGTAGTTAATTGTGTATCTGGTGACCAGAATGTACACTGCACTTTGTTTATTTCTTCTCTACTACTTTTGTCGTATTTTACTTGTTTTGATCCTTTGTGTTATATGAAATTAATAATTTTGCGTATTTTGCATTAAAAGATTATGTTTTTTTTTCATACTATTAATTTCTTTGTTTCTTTGTGCCACACTTTTTTTGATAGTTATATGATCAGTCGTTTTTTTAATAATATTTAACAAATTTAAAAGTGTGGATATTGTAAATAAAAGTTACGAAAAACTTTTCAGACAACGACATACTTTTGTTACAATCTCATGATCAAATCTCTGTATCTGATTACCAGAATAAGATTAAAATATAATCCTAGAGTGTATTTGAAAAATTAACTGTGCTTTCATTATGGAAGGTTTGTTAATTTTTGATATACTGTCATCTCAATTAGACTTGATCATTACTCCATTTTAAAGGAGAATATCGAATTTAATTTCTAAATTAATTACAATGACTAGACAGATTAATAAGACAAGACGACAAAAATGGCTAAGATACTAAATATCTGCATTGTATTTTGGATCTGGTGACCAGATTCACTGTTAAAATATATTACGTATGAATGAGGTCTCCGTTCTAAAACTAATGAACAAAGGACTTTGTGTGTACAGAATGGTATGAATACTGAGATTATTTTCAGTTATGATTTGCATAGCATATGATGCTTTTAAAAAAAAATCCCTAAATTGAAAAATCCCTAAATCAAAATCCCTAATTGGTGACCAGAATTAATCATAATTCCTTAATTATCCACAAATGTGGATACGATTTAGGGATGAATCTGGGGATAGCGATTTGTGGTAAATGATAGACATTCGTCTGATTTTGATACTCATGAAACTTCCTCTTCTGGTCTCGAGATACTCGCAATTGATTAATTTCCCCGTCCTGTAACTGATAATTGCAGATACCACACCTAAGCATTTCATTGTTATTCATCTGTGTTTTGCATGATTGTTCAAAGCAGTTATAACACAGTTTATGACTATCCTTGCAGCCAAAAACAAAAATATCTTCGTACGGATATGTTTCCATACAAACAACACAGTCAAGAGTTGGTACTTCGAATGGAAATCGATCTTCTACAATTAAAAACAAAAGGCAATATTGAAAATAAAGATCGACAGTGATCAATGGCTCTGATTAATCAAAAGAATGAAAAGTTGCGCTTTTTTCCGACCGTTTTTTCTTCGTAACCATTATAGGCTTTGTTAGGGCTTTCTGTTTAGTCTTCGGGAGATTCCAGCGGGTATCAAGTATGAAATAATTGGAATTTCCTCAGCTAAAAATTGAACAGAACACAATTATGTGAAAGCCTGACAACATAAAGCAAGTCATCGATTTTAGAAATCGGAACGATTAATCGTTAACGTTATTAGAGAACGTACCGAATTGAGCCAGTGCACCAACAATTTCATGAGGATCGAGCTTCCGTCGCTTCTGTTTTTGTAGTTCAATGTAATAACGAACTTGTACTGGTGTAAAAGGATATTTCAATTTCGATATAATAAAATCTATGAATGCTTGCCGTCGCTGATGCACTGGAATGTTACGACAATATCCAGAATGTTCATCCAATTGATAAAATCTATATAGACAATGGCAATATTCACATGGAACCATAGAGTTCGGATCGCATGTTGTCGCATGTTGCTCAAATTTGGTCATCGTTTGAAACTCGACGTAGAAAAGACATTGAGGACATTAAGGACGTTGTTTTGTAGTAACAAGTGTTAATAAACTTGTAATCATATTCGGTTCGAGTGGTAAACATGATACGTCATATTTCGACAGTTGATAATCACAAACACCCGCGCAACAACGCGGATCGGTCTGTGATTTAATATGTTCTTGCATCGATTCTCGCACACATGTAATACACCGTAGCTTCTCAAAAGAGATACTTTTTAATTAAGTATATTGCTATTTAAAAAAGCTATAGCTATTTAAAAAAGTATAAATATTCTCAAAAGAGATACTTTATAATTACACATATAGCTATTTACAAGAGGTACAGCTACTTAAAAAAATCATAGCTATTTAAAGTGTTTCGGCTATTTAAACCACTGCAGCTATCTAAAGTTCCCTATAGCAATTTAAAATTTCACATAGTTATTGAAAATACAGCTATTTAAAATTTCAANGCTTAATCAATTTCCCAATCGACTTAATGCACACCACAATTAAGAGATTTGGTAGTGCATCGATGCCACTTTTAGTTATATCATATCTGTGAACTTCGATACTTCAGAATTTTATCCAAATGAAGTTAAGTTTATTAATGAAAATCGAAAAGAGCATCTGTCTACCATAGTAGTTCCGGTTGTAGTTTTCTATATATTAGAAGCTGGTTAGATAAACCGTGGCTTGCCTTTTTTTTCATCAATTCCTGTGTTAGCCGTAGTAGTTTAAATCTATTCATCAGTCTATCTTATCCGTCACTTATTTGAAATATGAAACATGAGTGCAAATAATTAAATTTTCTTTTCTTTGATAAACTGACCGATTATCTTCAAACTACTATTAGATTAACGTTAAATTGACATATGTTTATTCGTTGAAAACAGTGCGAACAATTTCTCTCTCATCAGTTCGTTTTCTTTTATATTAAGACTAAGTTTAGGCTTTTATTATTTACATATTTGCATATCTTCCTTTTTTCTTGTTTTTTCAATAGTGGAACGAAGATTAGTATGTAAGTTTAATCGAACAGCATTAACGTCTTGGCATTCCATACCACTATTAGAAAAAAGGAAAATATGTAAAAAAGTAAATAGTGAAATATAAACTTAGTCTTAATATAAAACGAAACGAACTAATGAGAGAGAAATTCTCCACGCTGTTTTCAAAGAATAAACATATGTCAATTTAACATTAATCTAATAGTAGTTTGAACATAATCGCTCAGTATATCAATGAGAAAAGAATTTAGTTATAAATTGTTGGCACTTCATCGTTTAGATGAAACGTTTGTTGATCATGAAGAGAAGTTATAACGGAAATTGTTTCAACTATTTAAACAGTGTCATTAGTCGCAAAAAGCGCGTTAAAACAGTTAAAATTTCGATGATTCCACGCGTTTAAACATGTAAAACATGTTAAAAGTTATTTTTCCATAAACCGTTTTAACGTGTTTTTGGCGACATATGACACTGTTTAAATAGTTTACATATTGGAATGTTTAAACACCGTTTTATTCGTTTCGCTGTCTGCCTGGGTATTGTTGAACTTATTTCAAACAATGTAGAAGTTGCCAGTAATCCACATTTTATAGCACCTATGGCACAAAAACCGCAAGCAATAACTTTCGAATAATACATTCTTTTCATCCATAATATACTTTAATAGACTTTTTTAATATTATCAAGATGATTTAGAATTAGCTGCAGTATCTCCCGCAAAATCAATATCAATTCCACGATCAATAATGATCGAATATAGGGAGGAAGAGAGCAAAAAGGTTAGCGCTTAGTTTTTTATTTTGATTGCTAGTAATGAAATGGTTTCATTTTTATACTAAATAGAAAAAAACTGATGATGGTAACAAACGTGGGAAAGAAGAACAAGAACCAGTAAGTTGTCACAGAACAGTAGCAAGAATAAACTTTACTATTCCTAGAATAAATTTAACTATTTTTGTTTTTCATCTTAAGCCTTTAGAAATGAAAAGGAAAAAAAAATGCAGAAAATTGTAATAGTGAAGCTGCAACTGAGATGATGGAAGTCGATGATGTGAGTACTGACCTAATCCTCAATGCACGCTTAACAATTAATAACACATTGTTTCTATTCTTTTTCTATTGAATAGGAAAAAATCAATGAAAATCAAACCAATTCAATTGATAATAAACAAAACAATAAACAAGAAAAGAAAAAGTTAACTGAAAATAAATCAGAAATATGTTTTTTCTATTCTGTAAAGTGGTGACCAGATTATCAGACTTGGCTTTTTGTCTTTTATTGTACAGAAAGGTCGTAATATTTCATCACCACGTAATCATTTGAAAGGACCTGTTATCAATAACGGTCGTGAATATAGTAGTGACAATACTGATATTAATTCAACACAAAGTCCATCAAAAATAAAAAATGTTGCAAGTAAACTGTACTTTACTGAAGAAATTTCAGTTTCTGGTAACCAGAAACATGCTTTTTATGTAACTACTTATAGGTTGAACAATGTTCTTTTCCAATTCCTGGTAAAACTGATTCTTCCATTACAATTTGTACAGAACGTCGGTTATCATCACTATCATCTTCATGGTGTACAGTCTCTACAAATGATCAAACCTAATCAACTGATGTTTTACGTTTGATTTCACCTCAACATTCAAATGCTACTGATAGTACCACCAAAACATCATTATCACTTCTACAACAAAGTACACCATCACAATCAAAACAAACGAATATTTCTATTAAAAAAGTTGACACTGCTCAAGCACCAAAAGAGTGAGTTTACTTTTATTCGTGATGTAAAAGCTGTTCTTTTGTACTTATAATTACCTGCTATCTTCTTTATTTCATATAGTTCTAAACGACGATCATATGCTTTACGTTCAAAGGCAACAAGAAAACAACTTCAACAATCACCAACCGAACATTCAGATACGGCACCACCTGCTCCTCCATCAAAGAAAAGAAAAATAGACAGCAACAAAACATCTGCAGAAAACTATCAAATACTAACAAAACAATTGGGCAAAATTCCGAAGAAAACACATACATCATCAGCAACAGTTACTTCAAATAATAATTGAAAGAAATAATTTATTAAAAAACAGAATTTGATAACCAAAATTGAAAGTAAAACAGTTTTGTGATACTTTAGTTGTGGATTTTTTTCTTCTATTTGTTTTTGTTCTTTCTCTTATTCTATTCTTTTGTTTATCCTAATTAGGTGCTCATGTGTGTCGAGCTTATTATCATACTCAAAGTACTCTTTTGCTATAGGTCATGTGTTTCTTTTTTTGATGTTTCATTATATGAAAATAAAATTTAGTATATAACTCATCTATGTTTAAAACAGTAAAGATAAGAAAGTTTCTGGTCACCAGATAATAAGTTTTACAAAATATAGTCAAGGCAAAAAACTGATAGTTAATTCAAGTTTAAAATAATAAGATAAAAAATGTCTTCATCAGTATCAAGTAGATCTGAGCAAGAAATGGTTCTGAATTAATGAGTGGAATCGGATCGAAAACAGTGCCAGTCATTTTTTTGTATCAGTCAGTTTTAAGATACCGAGAAGTTGTGAAGTAGATTAATGTGTAGCAACTCTGTATTTTGGTTTCGTCTCAATAGCGGGTAAAATAAATGTTGATGAGTGGTTTTCTGCTATTTGCACGCACTTCTTTTGTAGTCATTACCAGATATCAGGATGTACATATAAAGTAAACAACACAGTTATTTCTTTTAAGGAAACATGTTTATTAGACTAGTTTTCATTGTGTTGATATGCCTGATTTTGATCAGCACAGGAATTAACTGTCTTCTTTTTTGATTTTGTGAAACTCACGTATATTTTCGAAGAAAATAGTGAGTGTAAGTTTTAAGTTCAAGGTTTGGCGGCTCCTCCCACCCCATTACATACCTTAGCAACCAGGATTAAATAATGGATAAATAAATAAATAAACACGTATATAATAGTTTCATTTAGCATCTAATTCAATGCTTAGAATAAAAAAAAACATAGAATCAAGACAAAAGAAAAATTTGAAAAATGGAAAATACTGAACGAATAGCTACAATGGAAATGAAAAATAAGGGTGCCTGTCAGAAAATTAAAAAATTTAGAAATTCTTGATTTTATACTTTCTATATTTCTTATTAGCATAATGAAGCTGAAGAACATACGTGAGTTCCACATTTCAGCCCCAAAGGGGCTGCGCTAACAAGCTTTTTATTATAGATTATATTCATTATCATTTCTTTTTATAATGTTCAACATTGATAACATTATTCAGTGTGCTACTTCCATTTCTTCGCTATCTTCGAGTATATCATCATCAACATCATTATATCATCCTCATTCTACTCGTCAGAATCAAACATCATCAGAATTTCATATACCATCTTTTGCATCACCATTGTATAATACTCCAATACCACCTCAACAGCAGTATCATCATTCATATCCATATCAATCTTATTCACAAACATTATCACAAGATGAATGGGCTTTAATAGTTTCATTGAGAATGGTGAACAATCTAAGTGTATCACCACCATATTCTGCAGTACATCAACAATCAGGTGATGTAACATCTCATCAACCTTCTTCTTCTGATCAAACTGGTCACCAGATTCCACTATCGACATATTATGCAACAAAAGCTACATCTATTCATCCATACACACTGCCAACACCACAACACTTACTATATGCTCAACAGACTCAATTTCCCACTACACAAACACAGCAACTGTTAGCAACAGCTGCTCCACAACCATCAACAATTTCAGCACACACAGAACCTGAACAAATATCTTTGTCTTCACAAATATCATCATCACGACAAATGTCTTTACCTCCACAAATACAATCTGGTCACCAGAACCATTCACCTATGCTACAACTACAGTCACATTCTCCTCCTGCTTCACCACTACCAGCTATTATTTCACCGGTACAACAACACCAACGAAAAGTTCCAGATCAAAGTATATCAGCTTCTCCTCAACGACATCAATCAACTTATCCACAAACACCAACAATCTTTCACTACAACCCAACGATAACAGGACCAACTGTTCAATTACTTGATCCAACAAAACCATATGAACTTGAAGATACAATTAAAATTGGCTGACGTATGTTAGAATCAGATGCATTATCAATGAAATATTGGTGTGAAGATGATATAACTGTCAATGAGATAATAATCGGTGGATACATGATAAGTATGGCTGGTTATTCGTATTTCGTTAAAAATTATGGAAAAAATTTTACAACGTGGGAATGCGAATATTACCGCAAACATCGGTGTTCATCAGTAGTTATTTGATCATCAGATCCAACTGTGAAAAATTATTTTCGAATTTATTCTATTCAAGGCGAACATATTCATGAACCAGCACCAAATAATATTGAAGTTCGAAAATTTAAACATCGTGTAAGAGAGCGCTGTAGACAAGAATTATCTAGTCCACGAACAATTTACGAAGATGAACTGAAGAAAGGAAAATATTCATCGGAAATGTTAGCACTTTTGCCAACATTTTACAATATGCGTAAGTAAACAAATATTTTTTTTCTAGAACTTCGTTTTATCAAGATATATATGTAACGTAAAAAGTTTAGATAGAATAATAATATAAAGTATAAATGTATAATCTGATATAATGTAATGAGAATATTAAACTGATAAAAATAAGATATTGATAGAATATACCTAAATTTCTGCATTACTGGTTGCAAATATATGAATGAGAAAATAATATCAGGGCAGGAAGTCAAAAGAAGAGGACACGCGAATATAGGAATAAGAAAGTAAAATCAATATCGGCACAATATAGTCTAAGTACTGATCTGGTGACCAGTAATCATCAGATCACTATCTTCAGATAAGATATAATGAAAGGGAAAAAAATCTAGCAAGCTTCATCTTAGTTGAAAAACCGTAATCTTTATCAATCTGATGACGAAATCAAGTTTTTGCTTGATGTATTTAGAAGCATAATTATATCGTATTCGTCAAGAACATTTACCACCATCACCAACAGATCCTAACTTTATCCTACATCCAGCATTTACATCTACAGACCAAGGTGAAAGATTTTTATTATATGACTCAAATAGTGTTCAAGCACCATATGCATCAGCACCAAGTGAAGTCGGACGTCTTATAATCTATGCTAGTGATTTACAGTTGAATATTTTATCGAAATCAAAACGTATTGGTAGTGATAGTACATTTGAAACAGCTGCACAGATTACTCATCAAAATTATATAATAATGGGTGAATATGAAGAAAAACATCCTGGTAAGAATAAGTTGTTATCTAGTCACCAGAAAAAGAAAATTTTTAATTTTTACTATTCTTTTTGTATTTTTATTTCTAGTACCATTAGTTTTTTGTTTATGCGAACATATGAATTAATCATACAAGTATTAAAAGCAGCGGTTGGTAATTTAAAATTAGATTTTCAACCAACGTATTGGATGAGTGATTATGAAGCTGCATTGACAAAAGCTATTAAAAAAGGGGTAACTTTTCTTTTTTATATTTTTTATACGCTATTTCCTAAACCCTAGCTAACAGTTAAATATAAAATTCTTTACCTTATCTTAGTATTATTCTGGTCACCAAATGAGTTCTTAACGAACTTCAGGACCGAAAGCAAAGGGAAATTATAAGTATCAGGAACATGCATTATTCAGTAGTTTCTGGTAACCAGATTTACAAATTTTATTATAGAATCCCTAACCTTTCATTCGTTTTCTTTTTTTAGTTACCAAATACGAAATTGCTTGGTTGTGCTTTTCATTATAATCAAGCAATCTATCGCAATATTCAAACTAAAAGTCTACAAGAGGCTTATTAAAATGTTGAAGTAGTACGTCAAATGCTTCGTCAGATTATGGCTTTGGCTTTTATACCAAGTGATCAAATTAAAATAGTGTACAATCATGTTATTAAACCACAATTAAGTAATGTTCCCACAAGGCTAGCATCTTTTCGTCATAATTTACATAATCTTTTAAAATATTACGAATCATACTGGTTAACAAAGATTTATAAATTCTGTGTATTTGATCAACCAGTACGGACAAACAACGGACTTGAAGGTATATAGTATTTCAATTACATAATCTTTTCTTTTTCAAACAGTTGCTTATCAAACATTAAAATAATTTCAATTATGAGAGTAGAATGTGGTCACCAGATTATAAACATACTCAAAGTTAGAAACAAAAAGTACTGATAACAAGTTGATTAATCAGTTGATAATAGAAGTAGGCCCATATCTCTACTTCACATGTGATCACCAGATGTATAAGGAATTCTAAATTTCACTTTTCTTCAAGTAATTGTCACTTATTATCTTTTCTTAATTGTAGCATACAATCATAAAATGAACGTTCAGCTAACAGCTCATCCACATTTTTATCGCCTTAGTACATGGTTTGAAAATAGAAGAATTACTTGTACAACAATTAGCAATGACAGTGATTTCAGATGTGCCGGTGCACAAAAGAAAACGTGCACCAATAACAGTTCTTATTGATGATTCATTACAATCCATATGAGACAGTTATAAAGCTGGAGCACTCACTCCAAAAGCATTATTATTGGAATCGTGAAAATGGATAGCAAGAAAGGCTTGACATCAACAATAACATAATAAAATGATGAATATTCTGCTGTACTTTTGCCATGTTTTATTTTTCCTGTTTGTCATTGTAACTAAGTTGGTATCTGCTCACCAGAATGTACATAGTAGTTTTTCATTTCTTCTTACTCTACGTTTTTTATATTCTACTTATGATAGTTTGCGTTATATGAAATCTATGATTTTGTTATTTTACGCTAAAAGGTTTTTTTTATACTATTTATTTCTTTTTTTTTATGCTACACTTTGGTAGTAGTATGATCAGTCGTTTTTTTAAATAATATTGAACAAATTTTAAAACGCGACACTTGTAAATAAAAATTAAGACAAACTTTTCAAGCAAACCAAATATTTTCGCCACAATCTCATAATAAAATCTTTGTGTCTAGTCGCTAGAATAGAATTAAAGCATAGTGATAGATTCTGTTTGCAAAATCAACTGTACTGTCCGTGCGAAATTTTTGCTCATTTTTGACATACTGTTTCATTTCAATTAGACTTCAGCACTACTCCGCCTTAAAAGAGAATGTTGAATTAAATTTCTAAATAAATTACATAGACAGATTAACAAGATGAGACGACAAAAAAAGATAAAAAATTAAACGTCTATATGGTGTTTTGAATCCAGTCCCAGGATTTGACATTACAATGCATCACATTAGGATAAAATCTACGTGCTATTTTAAATCTGGTTACCAGATATGATATCACGATGCTTTACATTAGGGTAACAGATCTTCAGTTAATGACAATACGAAACATGCATAGAGACTAGTATGGATATTGAGATGCCCGGTGCTGATATGTATGCCATATCTTATATTTAAAAAATAGTTCCTAAATTGAAAAGTCCCTAAATAAAAGTCCCTATTTGGTCACCAGAATTGACCATAATTGTTTAATTGTCCCTAAATGGGGGCTCGATGTAGGAACGAATCTGGGGAGCAGAATTTAGGGCAAATGATAGACATCCTAAATGTAACCCTTTTATGTTCAGTGTGGGAAGGGGTCCTATAATTATGAGACAGTTGAAATTCAACAGTTTGTACATTCATTCATTAATGATAATCGGTCGAATTTAAACCAATGTTTTACATGATAAATTGCTACCCTGCATCGAATAGATAACGCATTATATTAGGAAGGAAACCTTCTTTAGTCAAGAAAGTCTTTATTGTTTTCGAAGTTGAAGGGGATGCTATAATATTGAGACACTCTATACATGGAGAGAGCATTTAAAGTGGAAATACATGGTAATACATAGAGCAAGTGCCCGAACAATTTGAAATCTGTAATACATCAATGAACATATCAATGATTCCAATTTAGGATATTCTGATTTCCAGATTAGGAACGAGAGAAAAACTGGTCGTTCCAGAAAAAAAAACAATTCTTTATCTTTTGAAACGGTTGAAAATGTCAAACGACAAAAGCTGCACGCAAATGCTTCGTATACCAGCAACCTTTCACAAATTCATTAGATGACACCGTTGGAGAACGGGTTTCCGATGAGCTTGTAAATATATAATTGAAAGACAGGCTCCTTCCGTTTTGCAGAATTTCTTGAGGGTGGATAAGTGAAAAATTCTGAATCTCTTCCTTGACATAGATCATTTCCAGTAGAACGAAATTTATGCAAGACTCAACCGCACGATGATTTTTTCATGGAGGCATAGGGGGTCGAAGTATCTGCGTAAAACGTTTTGACTAGAAAATTGATGAAAATCGATTTCAGTTTCCATTTGACATCGATTTGAATAGTATAATTTAAATAACAGTGAAAGCAAGCCATGAAATCGATTTTTCGACGGAAAGGTTTTACATGGGAGGTCAATATGATTGAACTTACGTTTCCTACTTCTATCAGGAGTTATGAGATTGAATTCCGATTCCATTTCTGAGAAAAGAAAATTGAAATTCAAAGCGAACGTCAAAAGAATCCTCTTTTTTGCTAGTCCCAATCTTTTAATATCCGTCAAAAATCAACCAAGCGATATATTGGAAAATGGAACACAACAGTTTTCTCCGAATGTCTCGAATATACATGAAAAGATGTTAAGCTCATTTGATCAATAGCTTCTAGGAGAAACGAAGGATACGAATCAAACTGTCGTTTGAAAGCTCTCTTTTTCAAAGAACGTCAAAGAAAATTTTGTAGCAAATGTATTTTAACTTGGATAATCCTGAAAGTCAACTTTTCTGAACACTTAATGAAAATTAATGAAGAAGATCTTGATGGAGATATGCACACTAAATAGAGGATGGTTCAGACTACTTCTGTGGGTGAAAAACAGAACCTTAAAACAAAACCTCAAACGTTTGGCAGTGACAGGCTTTCTGCTACATCCCATTCGATGACAGTCATTAACGAATCAGTAGTAGGGTCTGACAGATCTGACTCTTACCTTGAGCGTCACTTTCCAAAACGCGTAATCTTTCTGATCATTGTCAACTCTACGAACGTATACATCGATCAGATCTGTTAGTCTATTTCTTTCGTGAACAAGCTCATTTGCTTCGTATTCAAGACGTTTCTCGCGACACAATGTCTGAACAGCTTTGCTAGTGAATTTTTGTTGAGGTCGAATGCGTACGGCAGGATCTAATAATTCTCGGGGAAATTTTCGTTGTGGAGCGTCTCTGCGTCTTCCTACACCAATTCTAACTTGTTCCGGCTTTTCACGAGCTTCTAGCCATAAAACGGCTTCTTGCTCAAATATTGCCTCGAGTTCAAGAGGTTTTACCGTTGCATTTCGGTAAATGACGCCTCCCGAACTTTCACAAAGAACACGTAAATGATTAATTATCTTATTGGTGTCAGCATGCATCAGTCCAGCTTGAGTTTCTCGAAAGGAAACCAGATCAATGGCAACATTTGCTCGTCGGATACGACGTTTCAAGCCCTGTAAATCTCGCACTGGGCGATTGTTGATACCATCGGTGATGCACACCATCAATTTATTGCATTTTCCTTTATTACCGTAGTTAAAATCGTAGGCTTCTATTTGTTTCAATCCTTCTTCGATAGCACCATAGATATTTGTCCAATTTTGAATGTCAGATGGTATTTTGCGCACAGCTTCTTCGAATTTATGTGCACTACGCGTAATTGGACAATGAATTTGCGTAATTTTACCAAATAACATTAGGCCAATAGCGTTCGGACGTAATTGCTTATGCAAATTTCGACTGAGTTTTATTAGCATCTTTTTACTGATATCAAGTAGACGCACCGGTTCGAAGTTTTCTTCGGCTCTTCGCTCGAGCATTGAAGCACTGATGTCCAATACAACAAGTGTGATTTGCTCCACTGGTGGTGCAAAATTTCTTGGTTCAAATATGAAGTGCAGCTGGGATCGAAATGATGGTGGTAATTTAAGATCGGGTCGTTCCGGATTACTATAAAAGGCATCCGATAAGCGAACAGTTATATCGGTTTTGAGAGATCTATTGATTGGTAAGAAGCATGTCAACTCATAGTCGATATTTCCATTGTCCGAGGATACTTGTTTGCACAAGAGACATATGCACACTTGTCTACTGCATAATAACAAGAGTCGGTCCTGTAAAACGCGAGTACCATGTTGAATTACGTCCTCCATCGAATTCCGAGTTAGCATCGAAAACTGTTGGAAATCGGATGTTATCACTGTTGGTGGAAATGCGGGCTGCTCCTGTGCAAGGCGGAGTAATTCTGTTGAATATGTTTCAGGCCAACTGTCAATTGTATACGAATCGATTTTAGATTGATGTTGGACATCATTCTTAGCAAGTGTTCTTAAGTATTGAATAAGCGATAAAATATCTACGAGTCTCTTGCTCTTCAACTGCTTACATTCTTTACTCTCGTATATAAGATCCTCATTATAATTAGGACCCAATACAATTACTGGGTCACTGAAGTAGTGTACTACTTCTTTTTGATTGGAATATGTGAGACGATATGTCGTAAATACGTCATGAGTAATCTTGCTACCACCACAGTCGACGAATAATTTACATATTAAATATGGTGTGCAAGTTCCCAATAAATACTCTGGAACGAACTTTGAATAGAGTTCAGATAGAAGTCGAAGGAAACAGTCGGCTAGAAGAGTTTTCTCGTACGAAAATATTCTACCTTCTAGTAAATGCTTTAGTGCAAGTACAAATGGACGAAATAAGTATTGCCGGAGATGATTAATAAATTGATTCTGCAATTTTTTTCTTTCATCTGTTTTGCCTTTTGGTGGCCGTCGAAAATATTGACATAGAACGTAAAGAGAACTCAACAATGTATTTTGTGCCACGGGTCGTTGCGCTATGTAATTATGTGTACGCCACCAAATTGAGTCAGCGAAAATTGATTGATAGTCTTTTTGAAATTTATATAATTCTTCAGCATGACGTCGTTTTACAGCATAAACAAAGAACTCAGCTATTGAATGCCCATCTCCATGTTTCATTGTATTCAATGACGGTGATTGAAGAGCTTGAAATGTTCTGATCTGTTCGTTTTCTATGCTATCGGTCCGAAAAATATGCATTCGATGATTGAACAGCAACGATACATGCGATCTTCTAGGCCATTTTTCCATGTTCTTCCCTACTTCTGTTTCCTGACAAAGCCTCTCATAGAGTTTTCGAAGTTTGGCATTGCAAGGTACAGTAACAGTAAAGCAAGAGTATAATGTTCGAATGTTAACATTCATTTTTCCTGGTGCATCATCGTCACTATAATCACTTTCATTCGGAGATTCGTACGAGGAAATCGGTGTTGTCGAACAAGAACTTGATTCTGCTTGAGAGAAAGAACTGGAATAGGAATCAAACTCTTCCGAATACTTCTCCGATGCCGTATCACCTGTAGGAAAAGTAAAATGCACGTTTAATAGTTCACGCGTTTTGAATATCGGAAACAATGCACTTTAATGTACCAATGAGATCGAATCATGTCGTAGAGTAATCTGAGGCGCTCAGAATATTGTGGACATAGTGAGGTATGGTTGTCCAGTACGGAATTCAAGGAGCGCCAATAAAAGCTGAGTGAACAACAAATCATTAAAGATGTCCTTCAAAGTCTTGCCTATCTCAGTAATACCCCGAGAAACCGAAAATATCATTCGATAAGCTAAACTCGGTTTTCAGTTTTCAATCGGTACTGGACGTGAAAAGTGTATCTTTTTCGGAAACCGGAGTTTCTCGTTTCTAGGTCGCTCCTAGTAGGGTCATGACTGCTAGATTTCTTGGGATCAAGTTAATCATTTATCTCTCCCTACAGCGACTCCGATAGAGCCAACAATAAAATAACTTTGTTAATAAAGTATTAGCTCCTCTATTATACCAAAGATGTGATTTGGTTCACTGACTGACCGATTCTGAGTGTGCATACATGTTATTGATTCAGCGATCTTCTGGTGAGGAAAAGGCAGTTAATGATACAGTGAATGCCGAATTTTTTGACTGATCTCATCATTCAGTGACCAGAAGAAACACCTATCCAGTGCTATAGCAGTAATAGTAAACATGTACGTGACAGAGTGTTCAAAACTGAAGAAATTTCTTTCATGCTAAATATGACTTCAACTTCCAACAAGTTGAGGTTTCTAATACATATATTGACTTTGTCCTTGATTATTCTTTATCTGACCAGCAGTGGCTATATGGCCAACTGTATGGTGTTCCACTGATAGTTTGTGGCATTATCATGAAATTTTAGAAAGGCATTTAACTCTATATTGAACTTTTTCATGGCTCAATTTTACATAGAAATTCTACAAGAGACCTATTGACTGTAGATAAATAATATGTTGCCTGTAAAAAGATCGATTGTTTCCAAAAGACCAATTTCGGAGGATCGATATTGCAAACAACGAAGAATGAAAAGACATCGCTTTTCCACTGATCAATAGACTAATACGTTAACTACAAAAACATATTTCTCTCTTGTTTTCAATCTTTTCACGAATGCTTCCATCTGTAGAATGAGGAGGTAATGGGCTCACTAATCAATAACGAATGAATCAGAACATATTCACGTAATTGTTGAAACTATACGTGCAATACCAATGATTTCTTTTCTTGTAAGCACATAGTCACTTTCCTGGGCCGTTTCACTTTTTTACAATGAGAAAACTACCATAAAAACTGTAAAAGCTATCTAATCTGGATCAATGTGACGAGCACTTCTACTGTGTAAGAGAACGTATTCGAATTCCATGGGTTTTTACCTTTTCCAGTTCGACGTACTCTTGTGGGAGGTATAAAAGAATGACTCATGTATGTGATCTATTTCTTTTCAACAGTAGCAGTGTACATGTATTGAATCTTCTGAAACTGTCCTGATGACAAATAAGTTCAATACGATATGAAATTGAACTGATGAACTAAGTACAACGATGAATACTCATAGCATTGCTGAATGGATTGAGTGCTTGTGACAGCAAAAACAAATTTTGTTGATATAGATGGTTTTTAAACAAATAGACCGGTAAATTCGAACGAATTTAATATGAATATTTTCTCCTTATGATAAAAAGCACAGTAGTGGCAATTTACTTTTGGTAGTCAACTCTCACATCCTGTGAATATTTTTCAATCTTTCATTGCGAAATTATCTTGTCCTATCAAGAAATCAGTGGAAACATAAGCGATACCATTTAGGTATGTTTTGAAAGAAAGAATGCAGAAGATAATACTCTACTTTTTTCTCAAACTATGAAAAGGCTGAGTAATAGGGAGTCGCTTTATCCGACCGATCTCTAAGGCACTATTTCTCGCAAGGATGGGATTTTCGTCGTTTGTTGAAACGTCACGATCTATAACCATAAACTTAAAAGCCTGATTGATAGAGACNTCTACCAAATGAATTATCTGCTTTTTAAAAACAAGAAATATTAATTATAGAAATGACACATTTTTAATGGTTTAAGTTGTTCTATTTGTATTTTATTTCTCGTTATACATTCTTTTTTGTGCCTCATTTAATTATAATAACATAATCTCAAAAAAAAAAGAATGTATAACGAGAAATAAAATACAAATAGCACAACTTAAACCATTAAAAATGTGTCATTTCTATAATTAATATTTCTTGTTTTTAAAAAGCAGATAATTCATTTGGTAGAATAATAAGTTGTTTTCTATCTTGTAAACATATTTTAAATTGTTCTGGTATTTGATATTTTTTATATTCTCCATCACCAAATGGAACATTAATTGTCATTTCAGATGATTTTGATGTTATAAATTTTGTATTAAATGATAAATTTGATAAATAAATATGGCAACCATCAGTTTTTTCAATTTTAATTGTTGGTACATATTCGATTACTTGTGCTTTTATTTGACAACAATTAACAAATTCAATTGATGATAAAACTGATGTAAATTTTATGGCAAGATTTTTGCATTGATCAAATGTAATTGAATTAACTTTACCATGAACAGTTAATGTTGAATTTGAACATTTATAAACATATATTGTATCTATAATATTTGTTTCATTTAGTTTTAAATCAGATCGATTTGAATAATATTCAACAATCCATTTATTACTTTCAACTACTAATTTTGGTGAATGTAAAGGCAAAGTTAAACCAATTCTATAATATTTTTTAACATAAATATATAATTCATTTAATATTTTAATCCATTGTTTAACCCAATCAGCATGAATAGAATCTTTATCTTTAAAATCTGTTAAAACTCGATTAGTATAAAATTGTGATACATCTATCATATGTTTAATATATGAGGCTGGTGTTGGTGAAACAAATATCCAATTAAATGCTGGAATACCTTCAGATATTGTTGATAAATTATTAAATAATCTTGATTTACTATTGTTACTTGTATAAACTTTAATAAAATAAAAAAAAAATGTTTATTTATTTATTTGAATGTCTATCATTTGCCACAAATTGTGGTTTCCGGAATTGGTCCCTACATCAAGTCCACATTTGTGGACAATTAAACAATTAAATAAATTCTGGTGACCAAATAGGGACTCAAATTTAGGGACTTTTTGATTTAGGGATTTTTTTATTATTTATATCATACATAATTTAACTCAATACCATTCTATTTCTCTATTCTCTCTACTTCCCTACTATACTATCTCAGTTAAAATAAATCTTTTCAACTGATGCATGCTGGTCATTTAGTCGAGATTATCTAATTATTGCACACTGCACTATATGATATAGTCGCATGCACAAACGAGTCGAAATGTATTAATTTTAATCAATAAGTGATAAAAGTGTACACTGCAGTGCAACTTAGGGTTAAGTAGAATTTGTTCGGAAATTAAAATTAAAACTATTATTAATAGGTTATGCAATAAATCTGGTGACCAGAATGTATTTGAAATTGTTGATTGAGGCTGGCTAGAAGTTTTGCGATTAGTGTAAAGAGGTCGAATAATCAATGTATTCTTCGAATTTTCGGCCGATATTATTTATGCTCAGGAGAAATTCATTTTCACTTGTCATTGACTTTCATAAGAAACTAAACAAAAATTTTTACTGGCCATGCAAGATTGACTGATATAAATAAGAGGAGCTGGCAATATACATAATAATAAAACTTATAATATATGAATATGATATGATAGAAATTCAAGGCCTATGAACGTACTGCAGGGAGTTAATACAGACGACTTTGATACAAAAGATTAAATGAGGGTTTGACGATTTCTATTTATAACTTAAATGCATCAATTTTAAAAAATCATTTCGGTGACAAGAATTTTATAACACAAGAAAAATAAGTATTGATCATCGGCACTGATTAAGAGTACAAAGCATCAAAGATCACAGATGGATTTCAAATAACAATCTTGCTTTTTACAAAGAAATGCCTTAAATTGTTGTTTCTCATGATCATTAATAACAAATGGAAAATGTACTACTATTATTCATACAAGACACTTAGTAAAGATTCTAAGGAACAGCTCATGTGATGCTCGGAACGTATTTTTGATTTATTGAAAAAAAAACTTAAAAGTTGTCTAAACTATTTGACAAACAATTTTTAAAAATTCAAACTAGCGTTCGAAACATCAGTCTCCTTTAGCAAATGAAAAGCAAAACTAGGCAATACAAACTCTTTGTATAATACATAATATTCTGACACAATAGTTATCACTGCTGGAATAACCAAGAATTGCGCGCATTAGTGCTGCATGCATCAATTACCAGACCAAGTCAGTTGCTCAAAGAATGATTTCGAAAATAACATATATTGTTTTTCTTTCATCTGTAAGCATGTTTGGCCGTAATCTACAGGACGTTATTTTTCTCTGCTTCAGTCATTCTGTAGATGGAGCAATCAGATTTTGGCTCTTCATTCTCTAAAAAAAATTGACGTACAGAATATTATCAACACGCAATTCTATTCATTTCGATATGACTTCCACATTAATTAATTATAATTTCATAGTGAAAAGTCTTACAGCATTGTAGAACAGATATCTATCGTGGTCCAAAATTTGCTGCTGCTTCATGCAAGCCTTAAGGCAGATAAAGTTACCTCAATGATATCGAACCATGATATACTACACGGAAAGCCACTGCGATTATGATGAAATTCTAGAAATCTGTCGAAAGTCTGTATTTTAAGTCTGCTAATCTACTCATATCAGTTTGAATTTATGAGATGCTTCAAGCTTCTGAGTGTTGCACTAGTAAGTATTTCAAATCTACGTCACTTGGTGTAATCTTGCAACATCTCTTAGAAGTAAATTGTCTTGATGGTATCAGTAAAACGACTCTTGTATCAGAATTGACTTCGTGGAACATATTCTGCGGTTCTCTCGATCCGCAACAGTATCGAAAAAGCATCTTCCACGTCGATGTCGGATGGCTACTGAGCTGCTAATGTCATAGACATCTCCGCATTGCAGCCTAGCATTGCTGCGAAATTTATATCAGCTGTAAGCCCATTCTGGTGACCAGAATTGTTGCTTTTACTGATCTGCTATATTTACATATGTATTTAAAATTCATTTTTCTTTTCCTGCTTCTTCCATAGTTATTATGCGGTGGAGAGAAGAAACGACAGATATATCGTCGGTGTAGTCCAAACAAATCAGTGCATTCTATAGAAAACATGTGCCTTGACAAAGATAAATTTCAGACTAAAATTAAATGATGCAGCACAAATTTTATTGCAGATCAAAGTTTTATTCTATATTTTAGTCTATCGAATAAACGCAAACAGCTCTTTTTGTATCTTCTGTCCGCCACAAAATGATTTTTCTTGACTAGCCTGTTTCAAAGTCGTCGAAAAATCGTCTAGAGAAAAGAAAATAATGCAGACTTACATGAACTGTGGACATAAATAGTCGAAATGAAACGCGTTTCACTCATAATTCTTTCACCACGATAAAGCAGTTGAATGACGTTGACGTTTCTGTCCATCCGTCATCATTTACGTATCATTCTAGATCAAAACTTCTATACAATTTTATTGAAATATCAAAACCATCAAACAAATAATGAAAAAGAAATTTCGATCAACAGAAATTATTGAAGAAGTACACAATTCAACAAGTGAAAGCGACGATGATGTTCAATATAATATCACTACATCAATTCATGAATCAGGTGGAATTTAAAATTTCTTACAATTACCAACTATGATCTTATATAAGAAAAATTTGAGAAATCAAGGTAGGGATTCGAATTATTTTATTTATAATCCCCAGAAACATAAAGAAAACATAGCAGTTAAATATTCTAGTAATCAGACAAGTCGCAACATATATTTATATGTTTGTCTGACCACCAGAATATTTAAGAAATCCTATGTATATTCTCGATCTTCCTTACCTGCAAATAGCAGTTACCTAAGTAAAAATTCTATATATTATGTCTGGTGACCGGAATGCCAAATTCCTACGGATGCTGTCAATGTTTCGCATTAGCCGAATAGTAATTACCTATGAACTATTCTATGTGTCTGATAACCAGAATATTAAATTTCGATGTTAAGCCTCTGTATATCCAATTAGCCAAATAATCAATGCCGACACCAATATTCTATACGTCTGGTGACCAGAATATTAAATTTCCATGTAGGTTCTTAATGTATTCCATTAGCCAAATAATCATTGCTGACGGACATATTCTATGCATCTGGTGACCAGATTATTAAATTTCCATGTAAAGTCTCTGTCTATCCTATTAGCCAAATAATCAATGCGTACACCAATATTCTATACGTCTGGTGACCAGAATAATAAATTTGTATGTAAATTCTTCATGTATTGAATTAGCCAAATAATCATTCCTGACTGACATATTCTATGCATCTGGTGACCAGGATATTAAATTTCAATGTAAGTTCTTCATGTATTGTATTAGCCAAATAATCAATCCCTACATACATATTCTATGCGTCTGGTACCAGATTATTAAATTTCTATATAAGCTCTATGTTTTGTATTAGCCAAATAATCAATTCTTACGGACATATTCTATGCATCTGGTGATCAGAATATTGAACTCCTAGGTATGTTAGAAACGTTTCGGATTAACCGAATAGTATCAATCTACGTATATTTTCCGTGATTCTGGTGATCAGAATATTACGTGTCAGATATGTGCTCTATGCTACTGGCTATCAAAAAATAAAAAGCGCAAATTATACTGTCTCTTCCATATTATTTTTTATTTGTGTTTCGATTATTTCGTTACAGGCGATCTTGAGAATTATATTTTGGAAAATCTTCCATTCTACAAGAACAATCCTTGTATATTTGCTGGTATCAAAGGTGCTGATGATGCAAAACAAAAAATCAATGAATTCTATCGATTAAATAAAAAAATATCACGAAATAAAACCATTTTATATAAAGGAAACACATCAAAAACAACAGGTACACAACAAGTTTTGTTAAAAGATGGTCGTTTATATTTATATGTGGACGCTGTTATGAAATACAAAACGGCGAAAAATAAAATTAAAAAAGTTCCTCTTGGTAGATAAATGATGTATTAATCTAGCATATTCTAGTGGAATTAAATTCCTGACTTGTTTTCATATTCTCTAAAATGCAGATGAATGATTCGGTTTCGTTGCCTTTATTTTTTCATATAGATTCACTATGTGGTGATAATCCAGATAAAAAAAAACTTCAAACTGAATCTTCTACAGATGTTTGTGAAAAAAAACGATCAGAAAATAAGAATCATGGAGGAGCAAAAACTGGTAAGTTCAAAAAGAACAAAATAATCTGAAATGTTCGATTTAATTTTGTATTTCTGGTGACCAGAAGAAAATGTATTCTTTATTGTTGGACATGCTGGTCATTATTCTGAGTTGAGAATAGCAAAATAAAACGTAAAGCTATATCTTAGCTTTCGTTATTGTGATCGCTGCAATCAAAATTTATTTGTTTGTGGTTTTAGGTATGAAAAATGGTGATAGTGTTGTAGGTGGAAAAATGAATGTTACTACAACTGAATTAGTACAAGAGCTTGGAGAAGATTCTCGAAATACTGATGAAGATGATGTTCTAGAAGAGTATCTCGACGGAACAAACGGTATGGTGATAAAGCAACATGTTTTATGAACACCAAATAAGAGAGATGTCCGTAAATAGAAGTGTCGGTGACGTAGTGCAGTGTCTTTTATTTTAATAATGCTTGAGATTGATGATAAGTAGTATGAATTTGTTGTTTTTTATCTTTCGTTTCGTTTCAGGTAGCAGTTCAAAAAGACGGTCTATAAATTGGAAAGGCGGTTCCAAAAACTGTACGTAGAATATTATATTAAAAGTCTTTTTCTAAATGCGCAACATTTTTGTATGTTAAACCTACCCAATAGGTGGGTTATATTTACTTTATAACAAACGTTATGAAGTTCAAGAATGTGTTGCTAATGTGCTCAGTTACGCACGTGATCATGGCGTATTAATGTCTGGAGTACAATTAAAAACCTTATTAGACATTCAAAATGTCGAAATAACAAAGGAGAGAGCCAATGGTATTGTCCAGTTAATTTCAACATGTGTTGATGTAGTAACAAATCCACATTATGTTGCACCAACTTCTAAACGCCCGTAAGTAACAGTTAACGAATGTTATATTTTTCTACTCAATATTATTTTTCCTTCAAAATAGGATTTTTGAATACTATGGTGCAAATTTTAAATTGAGTGAGATATATCCCACAAAATCAATTCCAATTCCAAATGAAATCTTAATCAATTATAAAAAAGTCAGTGCATCATTTCTCTAACTTTGATCACCAGAACTGAAACCTTTCATATTTCTGTTGAGTAGAAAAAAGTCAATCGTCCTGAAAACAATGAAGAAGAAAAAGAACCAGTAAGTTGCTATTGAGCTCCAGTTTGAATCAATCTTCAATCCAAGCAAATATAACTATTTTGGTTTTTTACTTTAAGTCTGTTGAAATAACACATGGAGATACAGGACATGGTGATAATGAAGATATTCATGAGTTAGTTGAAGTTAATGTTGTGAGTATTGACTACTCTTAGATTTTTTTCTTACTGATTCATCTCGTACACTTTTCATTTTTCTTCTATGCAATAGATGAAATTTCATGGAGGGATTGATATGCATTCAATCGATTATAAAAACAAAGGAAATAAAGAAATTGAACAATTAAACAAAAATAATTCTGATGTATGTTGTTGCTGTTTTGTAAATTGATAACCAAATTCTGACAGTATACTTGTATTCTTTTATTTTATAGAATAATGGTACTAATATCAATGTAAATGTTGCTACGAAAAATAATGTTGAAACTTGTACGGATGCAGCTAATGAAGAAATTGTTAATAATGATATGTCATCGTTTGATTGTTTGAATGAAGTTACTGATGGCAAAAGTGATGAAATTTTTTATACAGATGTTGGTAGTAGTTCAACACCAATTAAACAACTAGATAAAAGTTTTGTGAGCACACCGGTACGTATCGATAAAAACGGTAGTTTATGGCAGCGAAAAGCATGGTTTTTATGATTACTTATAGGCTCCACAATCTTCTCCATGTGCTGGTGAAACCTTTTCATCTATTACAATCGATACAAGTGGTCAAATATCATCACAGCATACTGCATCTTCTATTGATTTACCAGAAGTAATGAAAAATCATGAAGTAGTAAAAACTTCATCAATATCAACATCTTCAAATATCAATACTTCTACAAATAATCCAATATTGTCAATTAATATTGAAGATTCTCCAATTCATTCAACTACACTTGAAATTATTTATGAAAACTCATCTCCAGTAGAAAAATCGATATTACCACAGTTACAACAAAAAGAAGTTATAGTTGAACAACTTGCTGCTGATACAATAACATCAAAAGGGTGAGTTAACTTTCTTTTATGATGTGAAAACTATTGTTCTGGATTTACATGTACTTACATTTTCCTTTTATTATGTTAGTAACAACAGAAAATCTTTTGGTTTTCGTCCAACAACAAAACAAAAAAGAAAACAATTAACTGTTGCTAAACCATCTAAACGAAAGCGAGTTGATGCTTCTATTCATGCAGAATCATCAGATACTACAAATAAAAAGAAGAAATTGAGTAGTCCTGAAGAGTGGGCGGCGAAATATCAAGCATTAACAAAGTCCTTTGGGAAAATAAAAAAAAAATCCAACGCAACAATTCGTATCACCAATTCTTCAAATGATAATAATAAACTTGATGATTAAAAGAAACATAATCCAGTCTTCAGAAATAAAAGTACAAAAGGTCTTATGAATATTGGATTTTGTTTTGTCTTTTTCCTTATGTTGCTTATTTCTAGTGTTCTGGTTAGCTGTTTGTATACTACAAATTTACTATCACATATGAAATACTTTTCTTTCTATATATCATGTGTATCATTTTTGTCATTTTTTATTTGAAAATAAGAAAAACCTATTCAACAACTCATCTGTGTTCACAATGGAAAAGGAAAGTGAATTATTGATTATCACAGAGTAAATTTTCAAAAATATTTTGACACGAAAAAACTCACACTTCATTCTGATTTCACGTATGACGTAGTAATTCAAAAAATTTATCTTTGCAGATATTAAAACATTTTTAGTAAGGAACACTTATGAATTTTAGTGGCGGTGGATTAGAAAATAATGTCAGTAATATTTTATTTCAAAGACTTATGTAGTGGACATAATATCATTTTTGGCTGATATGCATACAGTAGCTTTATTATTTTTGTCTTATTTCAACAGCTGAGTAAAACAATGTGGATGAATTCAATCTTGTTGTTTGCAAGTTTTTTTTCTATATTGAGTACTAAAGATAACAACCTAATTATATAAAATATGTAGCACACATGAGACTGTATGGAAAAGTGTTTTTAAACTATGTTTATTTTGTGGAAATTTTGATTCTTGTCACCAGAGCAAGTAACTTTTTCTTTTTTGTTGTCTATTGTAGACTATATTCATCATTATTATTTGTTTTTCTTTATCATGTATACCAATAACAATCTTACACACACTACTACATCAACTCCTCCAATATCGTTCAATTCATCATTAACACCATTACCACATCTCTATCCTACTCCACAAAGTCAAACATCAACACCATCTTGTGCTCCATTTTTATCATCAGAATTGCATAATACTGCACCATCATTTCAACAGGAGTATCAACATCTATATTCACATCAACTTCAATCACAATTACTGACACCAGATGAATGGGACTTGATTTTAACACTAAGAATGATGAAAACGTTAAATGTTTTACCATCATTTCAACCATCAACTTCTTCATTATATCGACATGCAGGTGATTTAACATCATATAAACCAACTTCTTCATCCTATCACACTGGTCACCAGTTACCAGCACCAACATCTTATACAACAGCAGCAGAAGCATTAACAACATCTTCATGTTATAATGAAACATCGTCAGTTCATCCATATGCAGTATCTACAACAGCTTCTTCATCACTATTACTACTTACAACAGCCTTTTCATCAACAGCACCACTTATAACAGCTGCTTCATCATCACCACTACTTGCAGTAGTCTCTTCATCATCGGCACCATATGCAACAACTATTTCATCGTTGCCACCATATACAACAGCTCCTTCATTATCATCACCATATACAACAGCTTCTTCATCATCACCGTCAACAGCTCTGATATTACAAGAATTTGATCTAATACTTTCACCTCCAATACAAGAAGTCCATCCAAATGATTCGTCTATATCACAATTAAAGCTGCATTCTCCTACTTCATCACCAGTAAACTTTATGTCACCAATACAACAACAAAAATCTCCAAATCAATATTCATCAGCTGTTTCTCAACAAACTCAATCAGTTTATTCACATGCATCAACAACGTATCAATATGATTCATTAATGACAGGACTAATAGTTCAATTACTTGATCCAACAAAACCATATAAAATTGGAGATACAATCAAAGTTGGTGAACGTACTTTACAATCGGACATAGAATCAATAAAATATTGGATTGAAGATGATATAACCATTACAGAAACAACAAATGGAGGGCACATATTGAATATGGCTGGATATTCTTATTTCAGAAAAAATTCTGGTAAAAACTTTACCACCTGGGAATGTGAATATCGACGTAGAAAACACTGTTTATCAATAGTCATTCGATCATCAGATCCAACAATAAAAAATTATTTTCGAATACATTCCATTCAAGGTGAACATATCCATCATCCAACACCAGAAAACATCGAAATTCGTCTATTTAAACAACGTGTTCGAGATCGTTGCCGCCAAGAGTTATCTTGTCCACGAACAATTTACGAACATGAATTACAGAAAGGAAAATACTCAGGAGAGATGTTAGCACTTTTACCAACATTTTATAACATGCGTAAGTGGGAAAAAACTTTTTACACCTTCATACTGCTAATGTAGACAATGTAAGCATAAAACTGATGACCAATTCTCGCTCTATCACTGTTTCAGAATAGATTTTATTAGAGCAAAAACAAATTTATCACTTCATCTCAATCGAAAAATCATAACTTTTACGAATCTGATAACCAGGTTACGTTTTTACTTAATCTTTTAGAGGCTCAGTTATATCGTATTCGTCAAGAACATTTACCAGCATCACCAACTGATCCAAACTTTCAATTACACCCAGGGTTTACAACCACAGACCAAGGGAAAAGATTTTTATTGTATGATTCAAATACTAGTCAAGCACCATATGTATCAGCACCATCCGAAGTGGGTCGTTTATTAATCTATTCCAGTGATCTACAGTTGTTTATTTTATCAAAATCAAAGCAAATTGGTAGTGATGGGACGTTTGAAACAGCTGCACAAATAAGTTATCAGAATTATATAATAATGGGTGAATATGAAGAAAAACATCCTGGTAAGAATATATTAGAATCTGGCCACCAGAAAAAGCATTTTCATTTGCATTATTCTGTTGCATTTTTATTTCTAGTACCATTAGTTTTTTGTTTATGCGAACATAAAACCTATGAAACTTATAAACTAATTATACAAGTATTAAAAACAGCTTTTGGAAATTTAAAATTGGACTGGAATCCAATATACTGGATGAGTGATTATGAAGATGCATTAACAAAAGCTATCACAGAAGAAGTAAATAAATAAGTTTTTTTTAAATTATCTCTTCAGCTACTTCTTGAGTCTTATTAAACCGTTACATATATGCTACTTTAACTTAAAGCATTGTTCTGGTCACCAAATGTATTCTAAAAGAGGTGCAGAGACAAAGGGTAGGCCCGAGTACAATTCTCGAAGTCATGTATCAAATAGTAGTTTTGGTGACCAGATTCACAACTTTTGTCACTAAGTATTGATTTTTTTATTTGTCTACTATTTCTAGTTACCAAATACGCAACTACTTGGATGTAATTTTCATTATTATCAGGCTATATACAGAAATATTCAAAATAAAGGTTTGCAAGATGCATATCAAAATGCTGAAACAGTACGTCAAATTCTTCGTCATATTATGGCTTTAGCATTTATACCACATGATCAGATTTGCACAGTATATTATGATATTATTAAACCAGAATTAAACGATGTTCCAACTAAACCAGCATCTCTTCGTCAAAGTTTACGTACTTTTTTCAAGTATTACGAATCACATTGGTTAACAAAAATTAATAAATTTTGTGTATTTGATCAACCAACACGAACCAATAACAGTTTAGAAGGTATATAGGGTGTCCAGAAAGTAGCTATACAAAGAAAAGCTTGAATACATATCTCCACCATATTTTGACCAAATGGGCTGATATTTTTACTACTGATAGTAGAGTATGCATAGTTCATATTTATAAGGGAACAGTTATCAAAAATTGCTTTAAAGTAGTACAACTAACTTCAACAAAAAACTAATATTTTTCAAGTTATGAAAAAGCAATACTGCAGTTTTGTCAATGGCTGAAACTTTTACAGTACACTGAGTGACAAGACATATAACTGTAGTATAAATATGAGATCAAACGACGCTAGTATGAAGAAGGAACCAACAAAATAAGATGTTGTTAATTCTTGTCTAAGGGAATAAATACATTGCTTTTTCATAACTTGAAAAATATTATAGTTTTTTGTTGAAGCTAGTTGTACTACTTTAAAGCAATTTTTGATAACTGTTCCCTTATAAATATGAACTATGCATACTCTACTATCAGTAGTAAAAATATCAGCCCATTTGGTCAAAATATGGTGGAGATCTGTATCCAAACTTTTCTTTGTATAGTTACTTTCTGGGCACCCTGTATAGCATTTCGATTACATATTCGCTGCTTTTTAAAACAGTTACTTATATGAGATTAGTAGAAGACTTCAACCATGAAAAGAGAATGCGGTCTTCAGATTACAGACAACTTTCAAAGGTCTCGGTATTGAGAAAGGAAACTGTTATCTACAAGCCGATCAATTTGTTTCTAACTGAGATAGCACTCACACATATATTACACATGTGGTCACCAGACATCCTAAAAACTTTTTTCCTTCGATTGACATTAGTCATTTTTGATTTCTATTCTTTGCCCAATCGTAGGTTACAACAACAAGATGAATTTTCAATTATCGACTCATCCACATCTTTATCGTCTTATTCTATGGTTTGAAAAAGAAGAATTATTAGTACAGCAATTAGTATCAAAAGTTAATTCAGATCAACAAGTACATAAGAGAAAACAATCTGCAATAACAATTCTTATTAATGACTCATTACAGACATTATGGGATAGTTATAATGCTGGAAAACTTACTACGAAAGAATTGTTATTGGAATCTTCAAGATGGATAGCAAAAAAAGCTTCATAAAAACAGAAACATCAAAAACGTGGAAATTTTATTATGCTTTTGTATAGAAATTTACGATTTGTTTTTCGTTTCACTTTTAAGCGATTGCTCATTTCGATACTCTTAATGTCTTTTCTTGTGCTGCAACTTTTCTTGTTTTTGAATGATCAGTCGTTTTTAATATTTATGAAAATTAAATGTGTTAGCGTTGTAAATATAATTTATGACATAGCTAGTCCATAGAAAAATAAGTAACTCACGGTCTTAAAATAGAATCTTTACATCTGGTGATCAGAATAGAACTAAAGCGTAACTAAAGAGTGCAAGGAAAAGTCTTCTTCTCTTCACCATAAGAGATCTTGTTCATTTTTGAAATCTTGTTTCCTATCGATTGAGCTTGACTACTACTTTATGTTAGAAGAAACTACCAGATTTAGCTTTTCAATGAGTTTCAATTATTAAATAAAGTTGACAACGTGAGAGGGCAAAAAGCAAAAGTGATATAGGCAAGGTCTGTAGTATATTTTAACTCTAGTGACCAGATCAACCGGTAAGAACATATAGCATTTGAGACAGATTTATGTCATAAAACTGAAGAGTCATAGGTATCTACGTAGAATGATAATGAATTAAGTTATCTATAGGAAATGTAATAAAACATCCCTAAATCAAAAAGTCCCTAAATTTGAGTCCCTATTTGGTCACCAGAATTTATTTAATTGTTTAATTGTCCACAAATATGGACTTGATGTAGGGACCAATTCCGGAAACCGCAATTTGTGGCAAATGATAACCTACCCTGCAAATTTATCTGTTCTTTTTCTTTCTTCTCTTGTGGTTTTATCATCGAATCGTAAACAGGAAATAATTTTTTGAAAACGACTTCTTGACATAGTGGCTTTGAATATTGGAGATTCTAATGGACTTCTTCTCCATAAGCATTTTAGGTCTGTCTTCGATTTTCCTAATAAATCAGCAAGTAATAAAAGTCCAATAAAAGCTTTTAATTCCATCATTGTTATTTCTTCTGGTTTTTTATTAGAAGCGATGTTTCGAGTATATTCCATGTTGGAATAAATCAAAATTTTCTGCATTATTTTGTCCGAGATAAAACAAGTAAATGCATCTTCAATGGATGAAACATCGTCAGTGATATCGGTAGGTCCAGCTTTTTCAGTATTATCATTGAAAGAATTCGTTTTCATTGGACGATGAGGAATTGAAGACCAAGTCATTCCAGATTTGGAACTATATGAACTTTGCCAGCTGGAATCATCATTTAATTTAAGATTTTCTAAATCAATTTCGTCATCATCTTCTGATGTTTGGCTTTCTTCATCTTCCGTTTCCGAACCACTCTTCGTCGTCAAAATAGTCGCTATCACTTCCATCTTCAATCGAATTGTCCATAATCGTTCTTATAATATTGCGGACAGTTGAATACAAATTATTTGAGAAAAAATTTCAATCTAAAAGTCACAAGTAAATGAGAGAAGTACTGGATAAACTGGCATCAGCTGAAACAATAAATTATTATATAGCATTGAATATAAAAAATGATCTTCTTTATCATGATTTTACAAGCTTCCAATATGATATCTTGACCTCATTGCTTAAAAAAGAAATAAAACAAGAAAGTAAGGCAAGTCATACGTTTCATCTATAATGATATAAATCATCTACCATGGCAATTGGATAGCTCGAAACCACTTAAAAAATGTTTTTTAATGGATTGGAAATGTATATATCCACTCAGATTAGCGAATGAGTCATTGAATTATATATTACAAGTTTTACCTTTTTTCCTTTCTTGTTATATATTTATTGTATATTGAAGACAAGGCCTTGAATCAAAAGATTGTAATGATATGGAAAACAAATGTATTCCTTTTTAGATTCAACAACGTATATCTATTCGTAAGGGATGCTAATTGATTCTAAAAACTGGGAAAAAACCAAATATTTCTAGGGTATTTTTAAATTTTTTAAACAGGGTCAAAAATGACCCTGGCTGGTACTACTAGGGTTAAAAGTGTGGGTATGTGTGTGGATGGTGTGAGGATAGGTGTGAGTGTGGTGTGTAGGTGTGAGTATGTTGGGAGAGAATACAGATATCAGCACCCACACCTATCCTGAATACTTATTATAGAAGTTTATGTTTATTTGTTGATTTTGCAATACATTGAATCATGTTTTGACACAAAACGATGAATACATTGTTATTTATTGATGGGCAATTATTTTTACAACGTCGAACAATGAAAAAAGACAACACTCAGACATTTTACATAGATTCGCGTATATAAATAATTAAATGGTATATGAGTGTAAATGAAAAGTCGTGGTTTAGGCCAGTGCGCAATAAAATTTCAGAGAGCTATATATTCTATATTCTATGTCAAGATATTAAGCATGTTTCTTTTTGCACATTTATGTGTTTCTTGACCAGGATTCCCATGATCGACACTGTTTGAGAAATGTGGACAGTAATGCTCGATATGTTTCTGATGGCCAAACGAATGCAAAAAATACGGACATTGAAGGTAAAAATCCAATGAGATAACCAAAAAAACTAGCAAACGGTGCTTGATTGAGCTTAGTGCAGACAGATGTGATTGCTAGAACTAGACGAGTGCAACTGAGAGAGCCAAGAATAGCAGGGGCAAGTAATATATGTTTGTGTTTGACAATCGATTTTTTGACATCATTAAATTTTGTTCTGCTTTTTTTAATGGTGGCAGATGTGATGTTTTGAGTTGTCTTCGACTTTATCTGGAGAGTGGAGTAAATAATGGTCACAGCACTCGTAAAATTGATTGTTAGCGGAAGCACGAAGAGAAGCACATTGACGAAGGAATAAAGCATTAGCAAACTTCGTCGATCGTTATTGAGTGTAAGTGTACACCAAGCTCGCTGGTCATTGAAATCGATAACTATTCGTCGGAAGGCCAATTCGTTTGCGCAAAGACCAGCAACAAGCATACACACACCTATGATAACCCATTTGGCATTGTGCTTGCTTGCTGTAAAAGAAAACTTCGTCTTACGTATAACGATCAGTGTGCGTTCGATAGCCACACATGCATTGAGGCAATCACTACTTGCCGGTAGCCATTTAAGTAGAAATTCGAAGAATGAACAATTAAAATTGTTCTGTTTATTTTGCACTAAGAATATCATCTTGCAAATGAGAACAACCATAGTAAGAACGCCAAAAAGTGATGAGACAAACAAGTAACGATTGGAACCAGAACTTTGTGTAGCTCGTTGAGCAAATGTACCCATAGCAAACACATTGATAATAACGCCAAAAATAGCTATCGCACTTAGTACACCAACAGTAATTTGGATCACACTTGACTGATGAAGAATGTTGGTTACGGTCGGCTGTATATATGAGCCGATTATGGCATCTAATGAAAAAACATAACCAGCTGTTGAAAATTGACAAACAAAGCCATAACTACAAGGTTCACAGAGACACCAGGATTTCGTCGGACAGAATTTATGGTTTTGGATACAAAGTCCTCGATCACTACATATGTTCCGTGTACATTTGTATGAGGCACGATCGTAGTTAAAACACTCAGTACGATTTTCTTGATTGCACAAACACATGAAGTTTTCATCATAAAAACATTTCAATTGATCTCTATGTTGTCTTTTGAGGCATAGTCTTTGATAACTCTTAACGCGGTACAGTCGTGGCTGAGCAAGCACAGTAGAATTAAATAAGTCATGAATTGAATGACATCTATCAGATAGATTTATCTCAATGCTTATTTTCGAAGCATTGGAATATTTAAAATTGTATAGACCCGTGAAATAATAACCAACTTTATCATGACTCTCATAAAGGTGAACGAAGATGTGATATGGCTCTGATATAGCTGGAGTCTTAAAAAAACGATGGAAGTGAGAAAGTGTAATATTCGATGATTCATCTTCAATGGGAAGTAAGTCTGTGTAAACGTTAGTTCGCTCAGGAAACACCGTTTTTTTACCGATAAAATGAATGGTCGCCAATTCCAATGATGCAATGGAGATGTTCTCACTAAATTTCACATTCATATTCACTCTCCGATACTCACAAGCATTACCGGCCCACTCTTTATCACATAAACACATGAATCGTTCAGTTGAATGGAGACGTGCATCGATTGATATACATTTTCCATGTCCATTACATTTTTGTTTAGTGCATTCATCAAAAGGAATCAAGCAACGACGACCAGTAAAATTTGAAGAACATACACAAATGTCTTGATCAATGTCCATATCGTAGCCGAGACATACAGCATTATTCGAGCATAATGTACAGTTAGTATTGTGAAATTTCTTGTGTGAAAATTCTGATACGGCGGGAAGAGTAGGCACAATAACTCGCTTGGTCATTCGATTGACGGGCAAAAACTCGAATGGAATAGGAAAGTACCACGAAGCATGATGCTCAAGTGTTTGCCCATTATACAAATGAATATGTACAGAATGATTGATAGAGGATGATGACAATGACAATGAAGACTCATTGATCAGGTAGAGCAATTGTGCCTCATATTTTGGTAAACAATACGCATGAGGCACATACACAAATTGATCGTGTGAAATGGTAGTTGATGGAATACTATCGCGTACAAGCAGAACAGCTATTTTAAATGTCAAAGGAAGATTTTCGAATGCACCATCCATTTGAACTTGCACTGTGAATATGAGTCGTTTACGTTGAAACTGGCAACGGTCACCATAGTATTCGGGTGGACAGAAACAATAAAAGCCAGGAGGATCGTCTGACGATTGAACATGAAGGCCATTATTACAGTGCCAAAGAATAAAATCCATGTGTTCCAAAGAATCCTGTTTAATTTGATTATTTATTACACTTGTATATTCTGTCCGTGAGATCAAGGAATCAAATGTGGAAGGTTTCACATCAACAAGATCACAAAAGAGTTCGTGCGACTGATCAATGCAAACAGAACTCCCAATAAAGTGTGTACAGCGTTCTGCAATTGTGAGAAGTTGACCATTGCGACATCGAAATTTTGTACGATCACATATAGCTTCACGATTATTATTAATCCACTTGCATGCAATAGTTTCGTCATCATTTTCTGGACAATGTTGATGACAATCACACACCTCTCTGACGAGAATGCACAAATCAGAATTTTGACATCGATATCGGCGTTTATGCTCTATGGGATATTTCATACGACAGAATTGTCGTTCATCACTTGAGCCTACACAATCTATGATATTGTCAGCTGCTCGTTCTAATGGTAAGCATAGGATGTTACCCGTACGAGCATCCAAGCAGAAGTGCTCTGAAAGTTTACAGTGGATACGTCGTAGATGATATAGGCTACAGTTTAGCTCATCCTGCCCATTTATACAGTTCCATACTCCATTGCATTTATTGTAACTTGTAAGGCAGGACCATTCAGTCACGTTACAATCAGTTTCATCCGTGTGATAATCAACACCTGAAATTTGTTCGACAATGCCATTGCAAATTTGCCTAAATATCACGTCCAAATCACCTTGTTGTTTTTGTATCATGCTACATTTGCCTGACGAATTATTCCAGCAGATATCACGCCATATTGTCTTCTCATCGGTTTCATCAGCACAGTTTACCTATTTGATTAATTATAGATTTTTAATCATCATTAGAACGAATTAGTTGTTGGATTACTTACATTTTCATCAGTTAGTCGTGCTAAAGGAATGCATCGAGTTCCATTATCACATGTATGGCGATAGGGCATGCGAAATGAGCACGTGGCTTTTTCATATTCATCTTCTCCGTTTGTACAATCAGTATTACCGTCCATAAGCCGATGGCGTGATAAACACTTACTACCATCATTGCATTGAAAGAGGGTACAGTTGTTGCTATTATAATAATCCCATGGTAAGAGTGAGCATGAAAGCACAAAGCTCATAACATCGCTTAACATCTCATCAGAATACTTATATGTTTTATTAGTAAACGTTTTAAAAGCTCGACATATTGAACCATTGACTATCCTTGTTGCTTCACTATTATGATTCTTCGAGAGATAGGGACACAATGTTTCATTGTAACAAATCCATTCTGGCTTTGCATCGTTGTAAATGAGAAAGATATGTGAGAATAAGATGAGTGTTGAGGGTGACATCTTTTTGAAATAGAGACGATCTCGTTGAGATTTGCATGTGTCCTTATTAAAAATATTTGGTCCTTGATAACAAAAGCCATCGCCACATGAGAAGAACAAGTGGGGACATCGCTTATTGACAAGGTTCTCCAAGTCCAGAAGGTTCCTATCTAAAACAATGGCAGACTTCGTTTTCTGACAGAAAACAACACCATTTGGTGACTAGAAATGAATAGATGAAACTTTCAAAGAAAGTCAAACTGCTTTTACTGACTCTAAATTCGTTCATATTGCCTGTTGATTTTGTAGTATTCTCGAGATCTTCTCAAAAAGTTGTTGTGGATAATGCTGTTCTTTTCCAAATACCTTGAAAATGCTGTGAGACTAAAGAATGTTTTTGAAAGTTTTCTATTTAGAAAATTTAACTGGAGTTTTGGTGAAAATTCTATTCAATCATTTCTAGTCATCAAATGGTATCATGTTAGACAACGAATGTACATGAGATAAACTCGTCGGATTCGTCCATACAGTCAAGCTCATCATCTTGAAAGAACACCTTGTCGATGCATTGTCCGTTCAGACAACGATATTCAGTAGCAGAATCACACTCGTTCACTTCGAGCTCGTGACAGTAACGCTCATCCAGTCCATTGATGCATTCAGTCTTACCTAAATGAATATTGTGCGGGTTTTTCATACATAAGTATGAAGTATAAATCGATACGTAACATTTTAGTATACTCATTACCTTATACAGTATGAAAAATGGAAGTATTTAAAGCAAGATTTACAACAGGAATGTTACTGGCATACACATACACGTATGTGTGTGCCCCTTTGTGGTTTCATCTGTAAAGCACTGTCAAAAAAAAGAAGATAACACTTATCTTATGGATGGACGCACACTTTTCTAAAATAATTACAGTTAAGTCTGATACATGAAACATTCGTAAAGATTTCGAAGACACTTGCATCCTCAATAGAGATGATTACTTAGATAACATCCATGAAAAATTCTTTCATTGAGAATAGGGAAGTTTTTTACAATGTATAAACATGTAAGTTTCAATTTAATCTGTAAATTGGTTATAGATGATGCTAGATTTTCTCTTCCGAAAGTTATTAAGAAGTTTAATTTCGATATCTGCAGTGGTAAAAAGAATTATTTGATTATCGTTCAAAATACATAAGTTCTGTTCAGAGTTATATTTATATTTCAATTTTTCATACGTTAAGCGCAATTATATATAATCAATAACTAGAGTGAACATAAGCGACACTAAAATCAGCTTAGGTTTTCCATCATAGATTATCTATGTTAGAATCATACAACTATCGGGACAGCGCAGATTATTAGTAGTCGTATGCCGCAACAGCTTTCATGAGGGCGAATTCTACCTGGTCGAGTGCGTGGAGCATTCTAATAAGATTGGACAGACCAAAAGATTAAATATTTTCTCAGATATAATCCTTTGCTTTAGGGAAAGTAAAAAATACTCGTAGGTTCATATGTCATTTCTACTATACAGATATACTTTACCTGAATTGCATCGGCATATCAATCAAAGAATTTCTCTTAGATATTTTGATCCCTACAAATTTTCGATATAATTTTAATATAAGTTTATTGACCGATTCATTTATCAAGCAATACGTCATTTTTTCGTATTTTCATTTGATATTTATTTTCTTATACTAATATGTGGATATATGTGAAAGTAATGCGTATTAATTAGTTTGTGAGTAAAGAGAATCGAACATATCAAAATATATCATCCTTTATGCATCTCGTAACCAAAATAGATTAAACTGGTGAAGCCATTAAAAGTATACCTCTCACTGTGTTCTATTCGTCAGTGTAAGTCAGTAGGTTGTATACAGATATAAATAGGAAAGTTTGAGTATGTAAACATACAACAAATACTAACAAATACAAATGGATCAAATCATACAAATTTGAGCCATGAAAAATGAAAATTCAAAGAAAATATTTTGAAAGAAACAATGGATGAACTTTTGATCGCAAAAAACTTAAAATGATCTGATGATGACCCTGATTGATCGTAATAAATTTTGATGGAATAATTGGTCGATTGTTCAAACTATGACCTATACAATGATGAAAAAAAGTAGAGTATTGCAATTTGAGATACCTAATTCCTATACCTATAACATATAAGTACGAACAGAGAGCAAGTGTATTTTGGATACCCATTTGATTTACTTCGAATATTCGACCTATAGTGCTACACTTTGACTGAATATGGCCATTGATCTGCCTCTTAGTGATGACATGTATTAGTTAACGTTTTTTATGCCTTCGACGCAGATGAAACTATATTTCAATTGTAAAAAGTTCTAGAAACTTCGAAAACAAAACCGGTTCTTTCCATCGATACATTATAGACGATTTTCCTATGAAACCTTTTTTGAGATCCATTCGACGAATAATGATAATGCATAAAATGTAAAAAAGCATTCAGGTTTGATATGGAATATTATGGGTTTCGCGTTATACTCAAAAGAATTCAAATCGAGCCAACACGAATTCATATTTTTGATATCGAGCTCTTTTCATCTTATAGATTGCATACAGGTTTCATAGCAAAGATTTCGAGATTGCATCTATTGGAAGAATCATTTGAGATGTCAACATCACTGCCGAACTTTTTATTCTGAATAGAATTGATTTTCGAAGAATTTTATCGAATGGAATATATATTCCTCGAAGTCAAAAGATAGATTGAACTGAAGATGTTGAATGATATGTCGATTGTCTCCTTTGAAATATAAGATTCCTTTGAACGAAATTTATAAATAAGATCTATATTTATAATAGTATACATATGATAAAGATTTTAAAGTCTTGAAGACAAGGATAAAACTATAAACAAATTGTATTAGGATCTTCACATGGTACTGTTGCACTGTATTTCATTTCATTATATCCCTTAACCCTTTTCTTTAACGTCAGTTACATATGTTTTTCATACTACAATAATAATCATGCAATAAACAGTACGAATTCTATTTGCCTTCATATCGTTTATTAAGGGTTCCTCTCATATTATTAAACAAGTGACGTTCTTTGAGAACTTTCCTAAATTGTAAAGAGTGCAACTGTCGAATATACTTTGTGATTTCATAAAAATTCTTTTCTTCCTCATATTCATTACGGATAGCCAATGATTACGGTGCCGCCGGTTCTCTTAACATTTTGGATTCGACGTGTCTCTTTTTTGACAGCATACTTTTCAAGAAAGGAATAAAGTGAAATCTATACAATATTACAATAATGCTCTATACCAAAGTTTACATTTCTCTACGGTCCTTCAGAGCATCGTTGATCTTGTGATAAACGTACTCAAAACAAGAAAATGTTGTCTTTTACATTCTAATGATCAATGCGATGAAAAACAGAGTATTACTTATGAGCTACATGTTTCACAACCCAAATGAAAACTTAATATCAGCCAAAAAGCTGGAAATTTTTTATGTTTTTGCACTTGTAGTACTCTTGCTATGCAGTATTGTATACGCTTTATGAAATTAACGATTAGCAATGATAATAGGCATATTACATTAGAAAGTTTATTCAGGCTACCTTTTAGAGAGTAAACTAAATCCGTATCGTTTCTGGTTTATAAGGATTTTTTGATATCATCTTTATTTTCATCTCTGCAATTTTTTCCAAAATTATTGGAAATAAGATTTCGAGAAAAGCCATTGTTGTTAGGGAATGTATGTCGGATAAAGTGCTATTTTAAGAATTACCATTAAGAGATAAAATATTTTAAAAAAGAGGTTCAGATTGATCGATAATTTATGGCCTTTTGAAAGAAAAATATCAAGTCTTAAGCTCAAATTTTGAAGTTTTCTATTCCATCTCAAATTTAAAAGAAAACCGCATTATTTTAAAACTACAAACATTTCGCTCCAGAAATAGACGCTGATCTCATTGTAATGTCATCGGAGAGACAACCGAAAACCAAATAAATGTAAGAGTTTGAGAGAATAACTCTTAGTAGTTGTCCAAAATGAACATTCCGAAAAACTCGATTCCAGTTTCTTCCGCCGAAAACTGACAATGCCATAGACACTTTCATTTTGAAGCTAGAAACTTTATTCAAATATCGTTTGATAAAGCACCTCGCACAGCATATGGTCATATAATGTCACTGATTGCTGGTTTAGGTAGATTTCTCATTCAGAAATTCTCCAATGAATTTTTCATTTTCACCAGCCGTTTTTCAAACGAGAAGAATTTAAGTTAAAATTCTTATGAAATATTTCTCTACCAGTTACATTTATATGCGTAGTTCAGCTTCCTGAAAAACTTTGGCTTTTACCGTTTTCAAGATGATTGCTTTCTTCAATTGTTCTATCGGGAATTTTCCTTGGCCACGTGAAAAAATCAAGGGGGAAAAGCGAGACTGGTTGCATTCCTGCGTACTCACTGCACTCCCGAACTGTTTAGAAGGTTTGCTTACAAATTTTTCGACTATTTCAACATTCCTATTGATCGATGTTCCGGTATAGTGATTAGAGTCCAGCCGAGGTAACAATATGAGGCGTCAAAGTCCGAATTCCTCACTGTACTGCATCTTTACTCAAGTTTTGGAGTACACGAGGGATATTTGAACTTTGACCCCTCATAGGGTTACGTAGACTGGGCTCCAATCATTATATCGGAGCACCGACCAATAGAAGTGTTAAAATAGTTGAAAACTTTGCAAGTAAACCTTCGACACAGTCCGAGAGTACAATGAGTACGCTGGAGTGCAAGGAATCTCATTTTTTCCCCTTTGAGAAACCACTAT